AGTGTAAAAGCAAAAAATTATTCCCATATCACTTTAGACAAAAACATTTCCCGTACCCTTCCAATCAAGGAAAGCCAGATTCAAGCATCTTTTCTCGAAAAATTCTGTCATTGTAGTGTCCTTTGTTAAAGCAGCACAGCCTTCGCTATGAGGTAGCTTGTTCTCGCTTTTAAGAAATCCTTTAGGCGTTATAGGTCAGGCCTTGTGCAGAAAGCATCCAACTAAAAAAGCCGCCGTGAGGGGCCCGTTTCTTGAAAGTCCCGGTAACGTTTCGGGCACGAAATCAAATATTCAAATCGAAATATAAAGAATAAGAGCGTGGGTCCTGGCTAACAAACTACTCCATTTTGTTTCATTAACTGATAGTTTTATCATGTTAGATGCAAAACTATTGAAACCTCTATCTTGCGTGCAAACAACAACAGCTTTACGGGCCGTTAATATTATCGGGACGTTCGAGAAACGGGCCCCAGATTATGAAACAAACAAGACTTACGCCACTGAATCCACTCAACATAAGAACTCAACTAAACTTAAGCAACTGTTAGCTGATGCTTTGACAAAACACGTTTTCCTTGAGGTATAATTTCTTCAAGCCTTATCTCCATGGGTTACATTTTCACCGTACGCTTTGTTAAGATTCTTGCTGCAGATGTTTACTGAGGCCAGATGTTACGACTGGTGGTTGATACTTTCTCTAGTCTTGCGTGACAGCACGTGTATGACAGATTTCATTGACGACGCCATTAAACTTCACGAAACAAACGTGGAATCTTAGTCCCGGATGAAGGATGGAATTGAAGCTCTTGAGGCATGGGGTGCGCACAATTGGTAAATTTAATATCATGTTAATGACTCATAGTTAAAGTGTCTTTCGTGCCAGTTTTATTGACAGTCCATAGTTTCAAACTTCGTCCGTGGTATGAGTTCGAATTATGTCAGCAGAAAAAAAGAAATATATGCTACAAATGTTCATTATGAAGGAACCGAACGAACGGATATAAAAAAAGGGACGTGCAAGAATTAAAAATCTCACATTACTTGCTATTTGTCCTCAATTAGACAAGCAGCACGATAGTGTAACTAAAAATAATGTATCCCTGGCTTACAACAGAGATCTAACAGCGTTTAATTTACGGGTTTCAGCTAACTTTCATGAAAAATGGCGAGAACAACTAAGGTTCTAGTCAGCTGACTTGTAGCGCCATCCCTTGCGTAAACGGCGCGAAACAAAGTGCTATATACTTTTTGAGTAGGGGATCCCCATGGGCGTTTATAATAGCAAGGCGAATGCTAGCCATTGTAAAACCCACACGGATCTAACATTAATATCTTTATTCCACTTGTAATATAAAATAATGACTAAAAATCTGTATCAAAGTTAATTTACAATGATTAGCTGAGCAGGAGTTTCTGTCCAAAGTCAGTTTTACTGTCAATTAATTCATCAACCCAGTTGATTTGTATCGGGGTATATAGAAGTCTACTTTTGCTTTTGACTCAAATGCTCTCTATTTAATTTGTCACAACTTTAATGAATAATTGATTTATTTTACAATGTAATTCAAATGATTTCGACTAAATCTAGATTCTAAGGAACAGACCATTAAAATGTTTTTGGGTGGGAAGATGAAGTAAAAAAGATGTTGATGGAAGGGAAATCTAACTTAAGAAAGGAGGCTACTGTTAACGAAAATAATTCATGCTGCTTCAAAATTCCCCCCTGCCCTCGCCATAAATTTTGAAAAAACCGCAAAATGTCCCATGACTGTAGACTGTACCCAGTCCCCTATTCTTCCGAAAGATCGTTAGAATTGAGAACCTACCCTTACGCGCGGCAATCCTGGTTTCAAATGTACCGAGTTCAGACTTGGGTGAGTATCAAATGTACTAAGGGGGTGGAGGACGGTTGGGGGAAGGCGAACCCCAATGCCCGCCCCCTGGGCAGATGGTCGGCCGTTACAGCATAAAGCGCTCGATCTCGACGGTCTTACGGGAAAATAGGGGAATGTGAACAGTCTGGTATTTCCACGACTGAAGTTAGAGCTTACACACAAGCATGTTGACACTAGGGTAGTTCCTTACTTGCTTTCTTCAAACATTTGCAACTATTCCGGTTTTCCTCGTTTAAAATCTTGTTAATTCACCGCCGTTTAACAAAACCCCTTTACACGCATTGTGGCTTTGTATTTTTGTATAAATTTCTTATTGCAGTACTACAATACAGTACTACCCAGCGAGAACACGATTTTAAGAATTCGTCGTTAGGCTAAAATGTGCGAGTTAGTACCCCCCTCTACACAAGAACCTGTTTAGCCTTAACTTTGAAACAGGTTTTAATTTTCTAAAATATATGTAAAATAATGTGTGCTCTGAAGGAGGAATTGAAAATTATGGTCATTTTTACTGGTAAGAAGATCTTTTTGTAAGGAGTAGGCTGAATTGCACCTCATTCTCTAAACTAAAATGTATCATCATAACTATTATTATCTTCTTTTTTTTTCAAAAATAAGAACCTATTTTAAAACCTAAATAGCCTTAATATGTGCCAATTAAAGGAAAGGAAGGCAGAGACCACTCTCAAACTATTTGTCCCATTTCCGCGAACTAATTTCATGAAAAACAGCTTTACTTATAGCGGAGCAGTTCTCTGGAACAGCCTACCCTGTCATGTGAGAGAAGCCGAATCTCTTAGTCAATTTAAAAGATTAGTCAATGTTCATTTTTAATGTTATACACGGCATTCATGAAAAACAGGTTTTAGTTAGATTAGTTGTAGTCAGGTTTTGAATTTTGTTTAGGATAGTTAGGTTATTTTTAATTTTTTAAATTCCTGATGGATTTTACCGTGTTTAAATAAAGATTGACTTGACTTACGTGTCCTTTTGGTGCAACCTCGTTTTCCCAGGGTTCTCTCCTACTCGTCCTTACGGAGCGAGAAAGAGACGGGAAGGAGAGAGAACCTGGGAACGAGGCTGCTTTTGGTGAGGTGTCCGTCCTTTTAGGTTGTCTTGTCAGGGAGACTCGAAGACAGCTTGACGCTTGAAAATGCCTGTTTTTGACATATTGATTGCGGGCGACAAGAGGAATCCGCAGACTATTCTTGGTCAGTCATACTTTATTAACTGTATAGCGAGGTTTCTCCGAAATCTGTCGACGTTCTTGGGATGCTCGTTTTGTACCACCTAATATGCATAGTATGTGGCTGCGAAGGCCCTGATGTTGAGGTTAAAGCGACAGGTTCACGGTTAAGCGCATGCTCATTAATTAAATTACTTTTTTCCAATTTATTATTAATTCTATCAATTAATAATCCCACTCACATGTATCTTAGCGATCTCAGAGTGTATTTCAAAGTAGAAATGTATTTCAGAGTAACCTGAAGTAGGGTGGAGAGTACCAAAATCGCAGAAAAAATTAGTTGCTAATGCCAACATTACCAACGTTGAATTTATTGTTGACCTGAAGGTTTCATTCCATGGTTGATTAATTTACAGCTATGTTCAAATATTTAAGTTGATCAAGTGCAATTTACTGCCAGAGGAGTGTGCAGATTGGTTCTTTGACAACATTATGACATGATCATATCGCTTGGATAGATGATACAGCATGTCCCGGCAGAAAAACAGCATTTTGATAAATGAGCATGCACTGAACCGTGAACCTGTCCCTTTAAGGTTAGTCTGATGTCACAGTAATCAAGTGAACGCACATGCAAGTGATGCAACAATCATTGTTCGATTCGCAAGCACACGTAATTCAGGTACACAAGAATTTTCAATTCACGTTGCCGACAGGTAATCTATTTACCCAGGAAAATGAAAGTAGAGCCTGATCTCAGCATAGTGCAGAGTGAGTTTTCGGTAAGATACGAGTGTCAGCAAAGTCTACAAATCGATGTAAATTAAGTTTATTCAGGTTCCACTCTAGTGCATGGTTTTTATATTTTATACGTTTCCAAGCATGTTACGTCGCTTGTCATCTGAAAGCTTCAATAACCTTTTAAACTCCAGTGGTAAGCTAAGCTTTTTCATTATTTTCTATTGCATATCAACTGCCTTTGGTCATTGAACACGATTGAATATAAGGCTACGTGCAGTCCTGACTGTATACATTTCATATTTAACTAAATGTGGACTGAAAGTAACATTGTGTTGTCTTGTGTCCCTTGTTTTAAGTCATGGCTACTATTTGTTCTTCGGCCTTCATAAGGAACTCTGGCTCGCGATTGAGAGAGCGCTGACCGACGCTAAGAATGCGCCTAAAGAACAAAAGGACAGTAGTCCTTCCGTTGAGTCCAGTCATCCATCACCGCGATCTAGCACAAGTAAGGACGATGAAGGGTCTGGAGATGAACATGAAGCATCCAACGAAGCAGCCGAAGAAGACAAAGACGAGTATGAATGTGTTGTTTCGTGAACTATATCTTGATTGATTGTGCCAGTCACCAAGATATTTGTTATATTATTGTCCTGGAGTAAAAACTTCTACCTGTAAATCTTATGAAGTTAAATCTCAGCGGGCGGTTAACGTCCGAGGGGGATAAAAGCGCAGTGTCATCTTCTGACGTCACAGATATTCCAATGTTACGCCATCAAAGACTTTTGCCCGGGAAAACTCTTTGGCAAGAAAGATTAGGAATCACGTTTACGGCAAACGTCAATTTGTACCACGTTATTAAGACTTCCCTTTACCTGTCGTTTAGTGTTCATTCAGTAGTAGTTCCATGTTAAGTTCATCGATAAGAATTATTTGGCGCAGTTTTCATTTGTTCATTTCCTAATCAATTTAAACTGACATCTTTAATCTGACATTTGCCGTTTACTGTAAACATGATTCTTAAACTCTCTACTGTCACATACCATGCGCCCTCGAAGTAACCAATAAGAGCGAGCGTTACTGGAAAAAGAGGTCCAGCTATGTAATAATAAACAAATACTAAGCAACGTTGGCTTACTATTATAAAACCTGTGACGACGTTTGCTCGGACGATTATTACTGTCTGACTTGATGTACGAGCGGTAGCCTTCAAAAGCCGAGGCAGTGTTTTGCTTAAAACGGGACACCTCTAGAAATCTCACTATTTTTATCCGACTTTTATGACGCAACCCCCGGCAACCCCAGATACCAACCCTCGGGGGAAAACTGCTGGCCAGCATTGTTTCGTCTTAAACTGAGCCTAAATTACATTTAGCTACGTATATGTTAACTTGGGCTTCTTAGCAGTCCTTTCCACCGGCAACATTTAATAACTTCCCAGAAGCGGATCACTGGGATCATCAAACACAGTTTTCTCACAGAGCTCCCTTATTTCGAGTGCCTTACGTATATGATGAGAAGATAAGTCATGCTCGCCCAAGGCCTTATAAGTGCGACCCAGAAGCTCCTCTGTATCGGCCGTGAGGGAATGATGTCCCAGGATATCACTTCTGATAGTTGAAGCTGTCAGCAAAGACTCCAATGCGTCGCTAAAGTCGCCCAAAGCGTACTGCGATTCACCGAGACAATGATAGCTGAGCGCTGTATCTTGGTGGCTGTCACTAAGCAATTTTGACCTTAATTTTGATGCTTGCCGAAAGGACCTGACTGCTGCCTTAAATTCCGCCATCTTAAATTGAATTGATCCCAGAAGGTGTAGCTCAGTAGCAGTGTCTACGTGTTCAGGCATTATTTCCAGCCTTATGTCTACAGCTTGCTGACAAGCACTAAAGGCGTCACTGTTCTTCTCCATTTCAACATAGACTTCACTCAGATTATGAAAGCATCGGGCAGTATCTTGGTGAATGCCGTTCAACACTCTTCTTAACTTAACAACCTTGGACCATTTTTTTGCAGCCTTTTCAAACTTGCCCATTTTGTAATAGCAAAATGCCAAGTCATCCAAGCTCGAGGCTGTCAAGAGGTGATCGTCACCCAAGTGTGTCTTCCTAATCCGTAAGCCTTGCAAATGCGCGTTTAGAGAATCATCGTACTTACCCCTATTTAAGAGAATCCTCCCAATTCCATGGCAAATAAAAGCAGTATCCTCATGATTCTCAATACCCAATTTTTTCCTCAACTTTAGAGCACGTCGATACGACTTTTGAGCCTCATCATATCTTTCCATCTTCATATACACCTCGCCTTCGTTAGTGAGAACATTTGCTGTCTCAACGCAATCCCCTAGGTGTTCTTTCGTTAACTTTTTCGCCCGCCCGAGTAACATGAGAGTTTTGTCGTAGTCTTCGTTTGCATCAAAACAATGACTTAAATTGTTATAAATACTTCCCAGAATTCTGATGTACTTAGCAAAGTCATCTCCCTTTGACTTAACTACAATACCTTCAAGTTCTTCACAAGCGGCCAAGAAATTGTCGACATCACCAGTAGTAGCACTGGTATTTTCAAAGACTTCAAAGAGTGAAGTCAACAATGCCACAGTCTGGCTGATCACCTCTTTGTCAAGCGCTGATTCCGTCATTTCTTGTAAAAGATTTCTTTGTATTTCTAAAGCTCTCTTAAAGGAACAATGAGCAGCCTCATATTCCTTTAACTTGCTTTGCGCCAAGCCTAGGGCATGGTAGTTTCGAACTGTGTCTTCATGGTTTCCTCGGTCGTTCTCCAGCTGAGCAGTTATCATGTGGAAACCTTCTGCTGCCTCCTGATAACAAGCCAATCTGTCTAACGCGTTGCAGCAAGTCTCCATCACCCTGACACGGATCCGACCTTCTTTAAACGACACCAGAAGACCTTTGTGCAACCTCAAAAGGGAACTGGTGACAGGAGTAGATAGCTCAAGCTTCATCTGATCACCAAGAGCTTTGTAAAGAGGGGGAAGCAAATCAGCTATTACACCAAAGATGAAAGCATCTCGTTCAGCAACAGAACTCTGAAGACAGTGAAAATTTGATTCTTTAGATGATGATGGAGTCTCTTTTAGAAAAAGACTACAAAATGCGGGGGACAATGACGAAGCCTTACTCTCTTCACTGCAGACAGTTTCAAATAGTGACGCCATTTCATCGCTTTCCTGCTTCCTGAAGCAAATGGCAAGAACATGGTAGGCTAAGATCTTAAGAACGTTTTCATCATGGTCCGTACTCGCACAATGCACAAAACGCTCAAGAAACGATATTCCCTCTTGAAGCTTACCATTGAGAAGATGATAAAAACCAAAACAACAAAGAAGCTTTGGTGGGCAATCACTATCATCAGTAAATCTACCTTGCAGGGGATGGTGTTCATTTTGTTCATGGTCGTAGAACCAACCCAAACAACCACAGTACTTGGCAGCGAGCAGCTTAAGTTCACCGTCCCAATGATTCCTTTTCTTTGCCTCTTCAACCGCAGCGTCATAAAGCCTTATATAGAGCAATTCTTCGTCATATAACAGAGAGAAGAGAAAAAACTCTGCCTTTGACAACACGTGAATAGTCTTGTTGTAAAGTTCATCTTCCCTGGCTCCACTAAGCAGGGATAAAACGATCTTCTCTCGCTGACGGACAAAAACTTCGAAGGCGTCATTGGAATAACCCGTAAGAAACATTTCACTAGCCTTTTCAAAATTAGTGATATTATATTCATAGAAACAAAGTTGTGCTGTGTGAAATACTGCTCTTATTTTATCGTCACTTAATGTCTTTTCGACTACAAAGGATCGCAGCAGCGGATGAATTGAGAAAGATCCAAAATCGTTGTTGCTTTCTATTAGAGATTTTCTTTCAAGCGATCGTAAAATTCTCTTGCTTCTCGTAGATCTTTCTGATTCTGTCAGCTGAGGTAATACAGCTCTAGCTTCTTCCAGCCCAAAGGTACCAGGGAAAACGGCCAGAGATACAAATGCTTCTTTCTCTTTCTCTCCAAGTCTTAGAAAAGACCTGTTGATTACATTCTTCAGCCTCGCTTCGTCAGAATACGATTCATTGTCCAAAACCTGGACAATTGTTGAATGTTTTAACTCTTCTAGAACTTCATCACATGACAGATGTTCTTCTCTCATGGAGCTACACATCAACTGCATAGCCAGGGGAACCTGTCCACATTCCTTCATTATGCTTCGGCAGTTATTCGTCGATACGTCTGGTAACAACACCTCAACTAAGCTGGCAGAGGATCTTTCATCCAGTTTTCCAACTTTTTCTAGATGAAGGGCAACTCTGTACCCCAAGTAGTCTAGCGATTCACGAGTCGTGAAGAGAAGTTTGATATGAGAGATTTCAACGAGAATGTCCTCCGTTAATTTAAGAACTTCTTCTTTGGTTTTGGTGTCTCCAGATTCCAGTAGGTCGTCAGCGTTATCGAGAATTAATACAAATGGATTTTGGACCTGTCGTAAGCACTGAATAAGCCAGTGGGAAGGCAAGAGATGAGGTGTCTGTTTGACATCTGCGAAAATACTGAGCAGCTTTGAGACGAGCTCATCTTTGCCTCTCATTCCTCGTAGGGATACGAAATATACTGGAATCCTATTTTCCAGTAGTCGATGTGCTATGTTGATTGCCACTGAAGTCTTTCCAAATCCTGGTGAACCCCAAATGTCTACCAGACGAGTATTTTCGCTACCTGTCAAGTGGTCGAGGATTGCCTCGCACTCTTTTTGACGACCATAAAAGTGGGGAATTTCATTAGGCACACAGGATTCAGGAACCACATGACCTAAATGGCAATAACACGTTATCAAGACGGGTCATTTCAAACATAATTAGTTTATCGATTTGGTTGAGAATCCCACTAGAATACGCTTCAACCCCTTTAGGTTAAAACGTAGTTGTGATGAGCTGACAAAATCTAGTGCGCTCAAGGCAGAACACATTCAATTTAAATGAATAAAATTTGTTTTTTTATGACGGAGTTTCTCAAGGCTTCATACCCAACTGCGCAATTGCGTAAAAGTCATTCACGAGCCACGGAAAACTTCTGATTCCGCGGTAAGACTTTTTCAACGAAAAGCCTTTGAAAGGCGGAGTTGATACACACGAGCCTATAGACAGAGGACACACGGCTGACGTCACAGAGTTGCTTTCTTTGTATGTCTGCAGGATATATTGTTTGGTTTTTGGGGGGTTTTTTACCAACATAGCGCACAGTCCTGAACACTTTCGTGATTATCTCGGATTTAACACGTGATTAGGCCTCGAAAAAAGGTTAGAGGAAGAACAAACCTAAACAAAAAATAGCATTGGTGACAAGGAAAATCCGTAAATTAGAAAAAATCTTTCAACATGTACAGCCCAGCGCTAAGAAGCAAGTGTGTTGCTTTACATTCCGTTATTTACAGCACAAATATATTTCATTTAGCCCTGTGTATGTTTTGTTATCCTGATACATCACAAGCACAAGAATTAATATTAAACGAGGCACGAACATCAGTAACACACACACTCCTACTGCTCAAGTGCGATTTTCTTGTTCTTAAGGTATTTTGATGTCATCTGGGATCTATAACTGAAGACACAAACAGTAAAATGAAATCTGTAGTTGTTAAATAATTGCTAAGTTATTAATAGTTGCGCTCGCCAACGGTCATCACCCAGAGTGACTCTTAGGCTACGTACGTTTACACAATACCTGCTACTACGAAAAGCTCTCTGGTATAGTTTGAGCACGCATCCGATTAATGTCTCCCCACTTGAAAGATCGGCGCGAAGCAGCATCGCTCCGTTACACAAATCGCGACGAGATCACCGTTTTTATGTGAGAACAGAAGCCCTACCCGGTATGGTTTTCGTGCCAGCGCAAAAAGCTATCCGGTAGCGTGAACATAGCCTTATACGCGTCTTTCTTAGCGGTCACGTGCACAAATCCATTTTCCGTGTGTCTGTTCGGTTGTAGATCACAGGTGACATAAAAATTTGTTAAAATTAGATATTCAGTGGCATACAAACCGCCGGATTTTTTAATAACTTTTACGTAGAGTAAACATATATCGAAGGCTAGTGGGTCAAAGCAAGTTACATGTATTTGGTGTAGAGATTTGGAATGTACTGCCACCTAACGTGGAAAAACGAAGAAGAAAGATTTTAGCCTAATGGTAGCCTGTACACAGCCGTTGTTTTATTTTGCTTTTCGAAAACATCGGCGAGCGCGGAGCGCGAGAAAGAAAAATAAAGAACGTCTGTAAACATCTTTGGGAAAAAAAGAGGTTTGTTAAGTCCCTCCCCCATGTCAACGCCTCATCGTTATCACCTCTGCTTTTACAGTACCAATTAAATTGGACCAATGGTATTGGAGATATAAATTTCTTGTGCAATTGGCTTAAGTTAGCTTAAGTACGCAAAGAAAAACAATGACACTCGGAGTCGCGTGTGTGTAAAAAACATGTCAGACTGCTTCAACGTCGAAAAAGCCTGCTAAAAGAGGTCCGAAGCCAAAACAAATCGGCCCATCTAATCACTGTAGGATATGTGGGTGATGGTTATACGTCTATAGTGCTTGGCAATGATCCCGTTCCCTTAAAGCTACAGAGAATCTTTTTATTGAGACTTTGTGAAGGTGTTACAAAACGAAAGTTGAAAAAGATCTTGGTTTTACCGTTTCGCCAACAGAAGATCAGTCAAGTAGGGTTTGTTCGCTTTACAGTAAAAAGGTTAGAAGCACCTGGGCTGAACTGTTTTCTGTTATTAAGATCAGCTTTCAAGAAAGCGAGCACGACGATGATAGGTTTCGGTTTAAAAGAATGTCCACATCACCTCATGGTTCCGAGGCAAGGTAATACAATTGCTGAAACGCTAGCTTCTCTCATTGCCTCAACTTGATCATATTTGATAATAGATCGCAATGGCGATGCAACTAATACCACGTTCTTTTCTCTTTGTTTGAATTTCACTACCGCAAACAACTGGTAAATTTAAAAACTTTTCCCAAAACCCGTGGGAAGAACCGCCGCAACATCCTTTTGCCCCAGTAAACCGAAAACAGTCTGGCGCTGACCTTCTTTGAGCACCTACTTGCTTGAAAACTGTGCCAAACAGGCGTCAAGCACGCTTTCCATAGTCTACACTCCGAAACAAAAGATATGGTCAACACAAGCTTGTAGTATGACTGCAGCCCAAGTTCACAATCGGTGTTATTTTTTTTATGCAAATTACAATATATTATTGGTAAGTGTCGCGGTTAGCGCGCCCGGCGATGACAAACGCTGCTACTCGCATGACGCGATCGTGATGAGTCGTTGACATGATGATGACAGGATAATCGCCGTTCAGCCAATGGTAATTTGCTTTTCCCGGGAAAAGCAAGTTTCAGTTGCTTCCAAAGATGTCTACAGACCGTCTACTTTCTTCTTCCCTACCCCTACCTCCTTGCGCTGGCGGTCAATTAATCCCCGCGGTTTTTTTATCACGCGCGCTCGACGGACTTTGAAGAGAAAATAGAGGGTCTGTGAACAGGCTGGCCTAATGGCCGTATCCACTTTTTTAATTCATTAGATGCTTTTCACTTCTTATTTCATCTCTGCTTTTCATTCACTGGAGAAACTGTTTTTACATGTCCCAATGTGCGAAGGTGATGCCATCCTAACCCTTTTGTTCGTTCGTTATATATTTACCTCTTTTGCTTGATGTAAATGAAGGATGTGTGTGCGCGCTGAGCAGTCTTACCATTACCCGCCAAAGGATTACGATAAAACTTGCTATTACTGCATAACATTCGCAAGCTATGAAAAAATACAATATTCCGCCTACCTTTCGAGCGTACCGCCTCATTGGCTTGTTTCATATCCTCGACACTAGCTTTTAATTCGTCCATTTCTGTTCTCACATCTGTCAGTACTGTTTTGACTTCTGTCACAAAAACATCCATGTTTTTATTGACATTTACCACTCCAGCTTTCACTTCGTTAACGTTTGACCCAACATCTTTCACCGAAGTTATCACATCTCCTAGTCCAGTTTTCACATCTTTCACGTGTGCCCCGACATCCTCCACCGTGGTTCTCATGTCTTCCATTCCCGTGTTAATATTCTTGACGTCTGACTCGACTTTTTCCACTTTTGTACGCGTATCTAGCACTTCAGTTTTGACATCTTTCACTTGGGAACAAACATCGTTCACTTCTTTCTTTACATCTTCTACCTCACTGCTTACATTCGTCACGCCCGAGGCGACATGTTTGACTTGATCTTCGATATGGTATATGCCATCCTCGATCGCCCTCAATTTCTCCTGTCTTAACTCTAGTTCCAACTGTTGAACCCTGGCAGTGGGAAAGTCTCCTTCCGCCAGCTTTCCAATGTCATCGATCCTTGTAGAGCTTTGTCCAAGTGCTGCGAACGCATCTTTAGATAGCTTTATATACTGGTCAAAGGTTTTCTTAACAATCTCGGAGTTGCTATTGTGGCAAAGACTGTTTCGTAATAAACGAAGCTGATCCAAAGCTAAGGCAAATGTTTCATCGTTGTTTCCCGAAGGGCTTGTAACGCTCGAATGGAATGCCCCGCTGGGTAAACGATAGGGTTTCACATACAGATCGGCTAAGGTCTTCCCTTTCCCGCCTGGAACTGGCACTGCAAAGCTTTGAGCATAGAGAGTGGCTTCAAACAAAGCCGTGCAGTCCCACTCCTTATATGACTTCATGGTTGGCACAGTTTTGGTCTTTCCACCCTCCTTATTAAGGAACATGTTCCTAACTAGTGGCGTGTCATCCCATACCTTGAAGCCGGGTGTAGGAGCAACATTGGTGTCCCACAAGTGTACAAATACCTTGCGCAGTGCTGTTGGAAATTCATCAAGAACAACCTTGGCGAACTTGAAATAGTTCAGTTGTTCCAAAGAAAATGTACTCATGTTCGGCAACAAAATGATTCAGTGACAGCTCGCGTTGGAAGCTACATCTCACTCAAAGGAAAATCTAAAAAAAAAAATGAAACGCATTTAAAGTGTTGCTCCTTTTGATATTAATTTACCTTGCACGATAAATACGATAAAGTGATTCTACTTATAACTCGCGAACTAGGTATAGCAGACTGTTACTCACTATTATAAACTAATTCTAATGTCTCCTTTTTTTACTCATAACTCTTTGTCATAAGTTGTTAGTATCTATTTCACACGTTTGGTAAAATCACTCTAATCTCCGCGTAATTAGAACTGAGATGATCGCAGTTAATGATTTTCCTTCATTCACTATTCATAATGCCGATAATTGTTTATGGTATATTGTTCATTCATTTAAACTATTCACTTTCCAAAATCATAACATATTTACTTCGAGGGCACAATTTCCGTACAAGCACGCAACAAACCGATCGGCATTCTCGCATTAAGTGTCCTACGTATAACCTTTGCTACTCAAGTTCTTTCATATACTGCAACTATGCTCATCAAAGGTAATAAACACTTCGACGGGTTTTTTCAACTCTTGACATGTACCAGTTAGAAAATTAGTCGAAACCACTGGCAAGAGCACCTTAATATCGTTGAACTTCCTAAGTTTGAAAGTGACGTCTAGGCCTAGACACAAATATCTCGTAAAATCACCTAAATATATTTCCGGAAATTCTCAAAAAACTGTCTAAATATCCCAAAACATTTTCTAAATATCTCGAAAAATCTTCGAAATATCTCGTATTTTTTTAAAAAAAAAAAAAGCCGATTTTGAATCTCTTAGGCCAAAATTTTCCTCAGCGGGAGATGAAAAGTATGTTCAGGCTGTTTCCAGCATCGGCCATTTTGGCAATTGGCTGCTATAGTGTCTAGTGATATGGAACACATTAATCAAGTGGAAAACTGCTGAAGTGGATTACTTTGTGGCATGGAATGATAAAACTGAGTATTCTGTCAAAGAAAATAGCGAAGAAAAGCTGGAAAACAGCCAAAAAAGCTATAAACTTGTCCAAATATCCGGCAAAATTTTCTAAATATCTTAAAAATTTCCAATATTTTCTAAATATCTCGGAAACTTCTAAATATCTCAAAAAATATCCGGATATTTGTGTCTGGGCCTAGTGACGTCTTAAGCGTTTGAAGATATAGCTCCGGAAAGTTGCGAAAATATACAGAAGTCTGTATGCTGTGCGGCAAGTTTGTGCCCCACTAAAACGTCTTTAAAACTTGGCGACTTTGAGATGCTTTTTCTCCGTTAGTTTTAAACAAATCACTTTTAAACTTCGCAACATTTATTAATTTAAGGGCGGTTTTTCCAGCTAGTCGACAGATTTATTTTCCCTAACGTGTCCATGAACAAAATTTTAAAAAAAAGTTGGAAAGGTCTATTACACGTCAAGCAATTGCTGCGAGGCCTTTTATTTTCTTTTTTTTCCCCTCAATCTACACGCAATCTTGAGTGCCAGTATCATCTCACACAGTCAACTCGACTCCTTCGACTTACATAAGAATCGGGCTTAAAGTTCGAAACTTGTCTAACTTCTGTATTTAGTTCTGAAAATACTTGTATTCCCATCACAGGCACCATCTCAACACGGTTGCGTATTAAGAACATCATTACAAACAAGTGACTTCCAGAAGTTTCTAAACTTAGTAATTATAAGGGACGTCCCCGAATGCGACGTGAAAGTAAAGCGTATCGATGAGCTTTCACGCGGAAATTCATAGTAAGCAACCGAATTTGCTTGTTACGGTTTTCGACGCCATCTTGACGAGTAGGCAAACGCCTGAGAAATTACAGTGTTTGTATGAGCATCTAATGTCGTATAATTTTTGTAGAACGGCTGTTCTGAAAAAATATATATGAACTGCAAACTAAAGATTCACTCCTAAGAATTCTACTGAAAAAGTGAGGGCGTTACATGCACTAGAAGACCTAGAACCATTTTTTAAATTTTCTATACATTTGTCTGTAAGAAAGCCCATGGAAAATCTTAAACAAGCCTCTGGAGAAATTTAAGCACAGGTACGCCCCCCAAAATTTTTAGGACAATCCTTTGCTTTGTAGCTTTAGTTCGCAATGGATATTTTTTCAGAACAGCCGTTTTACGGAAATTATTCGACATTGGATTCTCATACAAGCACTGTAATTTCTCACACGTTTGCCTACTCGATAGCCTGCGCGCAGACGAAATTAAACTCTGGTTAACTCCGTCTGCGAAACAGCGCCGAAATCCTTGTTCTGGACTTCCAGCTGTGTACCCAGATTTGAGTACGCACCACGATTGGCCAGTTAAAAAAGACCTTTGTTTTGTTTGTCGCAAGACTGGTAATAGCCAATCACGTTGAAGGGAAATTCGAAACGCACTTCCGGTAATTCGTTGAGTCCGTTGGGGGTCCAGAACAAGGATCTCTGCGCCGCTTCGCAGACGGTGCTAATCAGAGTTTAGTTATCGTCTGCACGCAGGCTACCTACTCGTCAACAGTCCGGAATATCCCTAGATTTAGAGACGGTTGTGACGTCATGGAGCTATTGTTCTCGGGGAAAATTGCGGATAAGACCAGACTTCACTGTTTTCGAGGCTCTCAGGCATATTTCAAAGGCTTTTCATGAGGAATACACAATCTCAACCTCGTCCCCAGGGTCTTCTCGCTTTCCAATATGGCGGCGGCAGGAGAGAAGACCCTGGCACACAGCAGAAATCACGTGACTGATTTGTCCACGGAGAGTGGAAATTTATAAAGAAATTTATAAAGAGTGAGAGGATCTGGGTACGAGGTCTTGAGACTGGTGAAAAACAAACAAAATGGCGGCAACGGCAAACTCAAAAGAAGCTGAAAATATGAAAGAATGCACTTACAAGCCACAGGAATACGGTAGAATGATATAGCGATCTTATTTTCTGTTCAATGACCTTCATTTGTTTTAACCCTGAACGTTCTGTAGCGTACACGGCACTCGATACCGACCTTTTTTCACTGTTTACTTTTTTTGCCCACCCTGAGTGCCAGAGGTTCAGTTTTCTTTTTTCATGAAAGGAGGAGCTTTTTCTAACCGTGAGCGCAATTTATTTCATCTTAGGAATTTCGAGAACAGACCTCAGAAGCCAGGGAATTTTTTGTCATGACGCTCTAAAACCTCTTCCGTTCCGAAATTCAACTAAGCATTAACTTAAGTCGCGGACACTTTAAGCTGATAAGTTATCGTCAGTTTTGTTACAGATCTTCATGAGGTTTTTGACTATTGTTTTTCTGTCTGCACTCATTTTAACTGAACTCTGATATGTAAAAAAACAATTTTTTTTCTCAAAACAAGAACCAGAGAACACTATTTTGTTAAGACAATTCAAGGAAACTTTGGTTGAAAATTAAACAGTTCCTTTTCAGTTTGGATATTTTGTCACTTGATCTGGTGCAGGTAATAAAATTATTGTCAATCTTCATCTACCTCACAGTTTTTAGACTTTGTTATTGGCTTTGATATCTAACTCTGTTCACAATGCTTCCGGGCAATAGAGTTGGGGGCCTTATTTTATATAGCAAAGACGCTGATATTAGTTCCCCAAACAAAAAAAATGCCAACTGAAAAAGCCCAAGTACAAGAAGGTTGGAGGTCAAGCAGCCGATGATCAAAAACAAATCCGAACTTCCAGTTGCTGAATAAACCATCCTGGATCGGTCCACACAAAGTTTTACAGTTGTCATTGATTGGTACAGTCTTTTATTTATTAGTGAAGAATAAGAAAAGGAGGGAAGGTGGGATGGAGGTTAAAAGAGAGGGGGGCTTATTGTTAAAACTTTCTTCCACTGAAAAGGAGGGCTTATTTGAGAGAGTGGGGCCTTAATAGAGGATTTAATATGTTGTTATTGTTGTTTTTTTTGCCTCTCAGATGTAAAAAAAAGCATTAACCCTGCTTTAATAGCTACCACAAAGTGAAGAGTGTTTCCATTGGTTGTAATTAAGCAATCCAAAATGTATTCTTCACTTTGAAATAGATTTTTTTTTTTAGAGCAAAAACTTTCTTAATCCCTGACTTTGGTTTATTTTACATATTACTTGGGGCTGCACTTTGCCATGACAATTTACAAATTGACTAAAGGCTAGACTCCAGTTGTTCAAAAATTTGATGGTCCTATCTGCCTCATGTGCACTGTAAAAATTCCTATCTCATTTGGAGATAATAATCTTTTAAGTCAAACACGCTTTGCATGTCAGATGGGCCCTTTCATAGTCTAATTGAGACATAACTTGGTAGTGGTGTGCTGATTATCTATCATAATCTATCATTGATCTGAAACCTAAAGCAAAGTGAGTACTGCTTAATATACAAACGTTCAATTGATTGTTGTGGAAAATACACAAAAACATTGTTAACAAATAAGGACATTAATACACCTGTGTTGTCTTTTTGATGGACTCTTAATGTAGTTTATATGATGTTTAGTTGGTTTAACTATGTGACAGATAAGCTTCTGCTTGCGGGGTAGGTTTTTGTTTTATTCACTTACAAAAGTATTTTCAGTGTTGAAAGTGGTACACAGGGGTCACAAAACTATTATCTACTATAATTGATTATCAGTTTAATAGTTGGGTTAATCTGATTATTTCTGATGATATGATTATGATACAGACACTATGACTAAGACTAACCAACACCTTAAAGTAGACTTTGGAAGTATTTGAGCCAGCACATCTTACAGCTGCATCCTCACAGCCCAACACCTATACAAGCTAAAAGCCTTGCCTTGTCCCTGTGTGGCATTTTCCCAGGTCTTCTTGGTCAATTCATTTCTGTGACTTATCTTAGGCAAACTGGAGGGAAACTGTTTCAATATATTGCTTGGGGCCACGTGACCCGAAAATCATTGGCCATGACTAGGCAACTAAAAGCTCACTATGGTAATGGGGACTCTGGTGCAAAACACTTCAAAAGCCTTGGCATCCCTAAATGAAAAATCCCGGGATCAAGATGCTGCAGGCCCCTTCCTCTCTTGTTTATTCAGTGGATAGTGATATATGCACCCTTTGAAGCAGTTTATTTTTTTAAATCCAAATTTTAGAACTGAATTATAGCTGCTTCATAATCATACCCAGCTGGTTTTGGAATACTACAATGCCAGCCACTATTTCACCTGGTCCACAAACCCCCTTTTCAAGCATATGGTGACAAGAACAACATGCAGTGACAAGAACAACATGCACACTTAGCCTACAGTAATTAGAAGCTCAATTAACAGGTTTTGGTTTGACAGAAAACTTATTCATCTTAGGATCACTGTCACCCCATCTAAGGGAATCTGGAATCTGGGAAATTTTTCTCTTGGAAACTGAAATAAAGGTCAAGTACTCTGGATCCCACTTATAATTGGAATCCAGAATCCAAGTTCCACTGACAAAGAATCCAGAATGCAGTATCCATGGCACAGAATTGAGAATCCAAGACTGTCAGATTTCCTTGCATGGGCTGATCATTATTTTCAACTTGATAAAATAAAAGACATCATGTGCTTTCATTATTTTATTTTTGCAACTAGAAAGACTAACTAGAATTATGCAAGTTTTTCATTTCTGAGAAAAGGAAACAGTTTATTTTCCCAATGTCTCTGTATTTAGCTGTATTTTACTGCCTATGAAATGAGCAAATAATAATAAATTATCATTATTGTGACACTAAAAACTGAATAAATGAAAAGTCAGGATTAAAAATATGGAAGGATAGCGACAATATGTTTGGCTTCAATTTCTAGTTTTGTTTCGACATCTGCCTCTCTCGCTCCTCATGCCCCTTCAAAATCACAGTGAAAAAAATTAAAAGAAGGCCAGGTAGGCCCATGCACGTTACGATCAAATGAAAAAAAAAAATGCTTCACTGGACAAAAAACTGCTGAGACAAACCACAGATTATGCACGATTTCCGTATAACCCCATACATTAATAATATTATGCATACAGCTATTGTTCAAAGAAAACAAAAGGCAGTTCGCAAACGGACAGCTAAATTTATTGATAAGCTGAAGCCTTACAAGTATTCTTTGACAAATCGGGAATTAAAGAAACAAATCTTTAGTAATTTAGAACACACAAACCAAATAGAACGAGCAACAGAAATACCTTTACGCCTCATAATATTCCCAGCGATTACCGTTTCAGATATCACTATCTTCGAATCTTTGCCTTCCAACGGTAAAGTCACTGTTTTCCGAACAATCAGACCTGAATTCTCTCCACCTTTTAGGTCTTAAACACTGAAGAAAGCACTTCTCAGCCTCTACGAAGCCCTCAAATGTTAACCATCTTTGTTTTGGAAGGAATAAACCAATGAGAGCGCACGTATGAACGCACCATGGAATGCACCAATCAGCGATCGTTTTAGTTCGCAGTGTGCCAGGGTCTTCTCTCCTGCCGCCGCCATATTGGAAAGCGAGAAGACCCTAGGGACGAGGTTGACACAATCTTTCAAAGAGAGTTGCGTATCGGAAGCCATAATGGAAGTGCCTCGTGAAATATTCAGCACATTTTGTGGCTTATTTCTCTCTTTAAACAACGCGATGCAGGCGCGATTTTGGTCAAGGTAGGTCAACAAGTATCTATTATTTTTTGGATTCACAGATTTTTGACGAAGTTCTAGATATTTTTCTATGGAACGGTATCGGGGTCAAAAATTTTTGCGTTCCAGGTAAGAGAACGCAACCCCTAATTTCTGTTGGGTGTTCTGTACATTATTGCGTGTCCTGTACAATTAATAAGGGATGTTTTTTTGAGATTGAATTTGTGTCGACACACATGCATTTGCCCCACTTTGAGGCGCTTGCTTACGTTTTGCCTCACTTTGACGCACTAACTCACGTGGTGATTCGTGTGTCCCCGGCGTTCATCTTTCAAACGTTTGCTGAGGTCTGCTATTCTGTCTTCGTAACGCGTTCATCTTTTAAAAGTGTGCTGAATCTTCGTAAAGCGTACATATTTCAAGAGTTTGCTGAAGGTCTACCATCGATGTGTGTTTGCTGAATCAAAAAGTTAAAAAGTTGCTCTGATTTTTAAGATGTCCGTGGTTTTTTAATATCATTGTAAATTGATTTCCTTTGTTACTAATTTATTCACATTCGTTTTTAACATCTCTCAATTTTTTAAATCTCTAAAATTTTTAAGATCTTTCATATAATCACTATTTGTACATAGGCTTTTCATCATGATTGTCGTAATATATTTATTATTATTAATTTTGTTTCTAGAGTGCCACTAGGGAGAATATACTTTTCATAGTAATTGATGTCACCCTCTTAAAATAAAGGTTATATATAATTCGTTCGAAAGCCATATAATTTTTAATACCGAGTTCAGCAAGACTGACGCGCTTGTTCAGTCGATTATCTGAGACTCACAGGGTTATTTCAGAGGCGGATCCGGAGGAGAGCCCCCACTTATTTTTGGACCAAACTAAGGCCCAAGGGAACCGAAAAATTTGGGGAGGGGAGACCGCCCCCACCCCTTAACTCAAGGTCTGGATCCGGCACTGTATTTTTGAAGCTGTGGAACATTCTAGTCTTCTTCGGGGGATTGTTTATTTCGGTGTGTGTGTGGGTGTGCGTGTGTGTGTGTGTGTGTGTGTGTGTGTGTGTGTGTTGTTGGGGGGGGTGAATACTTTTTAGATTTGTCTATGTCCGGCCCTCATGCGTGTTCGACCATAAAAAAACATCATTTCTCTTTCTTTTTCTACCAAATTTTAAAAGGTTGCGGAGGAGTGTGATTCTGGAGTAATTTTTTTCCAGAATCCAAAGTCCAGTCCGGGGTCCAGTCTAGATTTTAGGATACCCTCGAAATAGACAAGACAAAGCCAAAGGGAGACAAGACGATACAACAAGTAGACAAGGCGACAGAACAAGTAGACAAGATGACATGACAAATCGTCAAGACGACATAACAAGTAGACAAGAAGCGTCCTCGTTCCCAGTCGTCATCGGTGATTTCGGATGTGACGTCACCTCTCAGGCTTGTCGGTTCCAAGCCTCCGCTGGTAACTCAGATAGCGCGAACTGGCCTGGGTACGAGGCTGAGCAAGACGACAGAACAAGAAGACAAGATGACATGACAAATCGGCAAGGCCGACACAACAAGTAGACAAGACGACATAGAAAATAGACATCGAGTTCTTTTTTACCCTGATACCGCTCCATAATTTTTCCTCGACTCTCATATCGATTAACTTTAATTATGTTGTTACGTAGTCAGCCAGCGTCTTAAATTCGGGACCGCATTCCTTTCGTATTCTTGGGAGTCAAAAATTGCCTTGTTTTTTTAACTTTCCCGTATCCCGTGCCCGTCCCGAAAAATTGTGTGATTTTTATTGGCTGCAACTTCGAATCACATGCAAGTCAAGTTGGATTGCACAAGCAGAAAAAAGATACTTCGTCAGCAAAGAATTGCCTGCGTCGAAGAGAAAAGTGAGCTTACTGCGTAGATGAGGACAAAGGTTCAAGGAGTTTGCTCTAACGGCACAAGACTTGGCGACTGAAAATATTGTCCAGGACGCCCAGCCGGGCGACATGCTGGTGTTTGGTGAATTCAAATGAAACGACCTTTAAACGTCAACGCGCGGCCGCTGCCCGATTTAACAACATTTTCTTAAAGCATTTTGATAGACATACTACATACAAGTCGACCTCAAGAGTTTCTTAGCGAGCTGAGCGTTCTTTTTAGGCCGCGAAGCGACTGAGCAGGGGCACCCAACGGCAATTTTCGGGAAAATATCTGTTCGGAAGACGATTTGAGATCTAGAATTTTCGGAGCATTTGTTGTAAAATTTCTTGCTTGCCTGCCTCTCCTAGGATTTTCGAACATCTACAAAATGGTATAATTACCCATTTTTAACGGATTTTGACCCTAAAAAAGGCCACCTAGTATTTTTGGGAGCCTTTTCCCTGGCTGAAATTTTCGAGAAGGTAAGTTTTTATCCCTATAATCTTCGGATCACTAAACTTTCAGCTAGGAAATCCGAACAGATGAAAAGTTTTTAGGGGATAAAAATATGCCTATATCTACCGTTTGAATACTAAAATACGTTCAACAATGCTATGTTAAGTGGTTTTGAACTATATCCTCGTTGGGTGTCCCTGACTGAGCGAGCTACGATTTCGCAAATATTGTCTCTTTTGTGTATATATATACATATATTTATAAATTTATTTGTTTTTAGTCTTCTAAATTTATTTATCTATTTATCTATTTTTTTGAGGGCCGTAGGTTAGAAAACTGTAAAAGGTTATTGCGCTTCCCTCTTTAAATAAAGTTATTGTATTGTATTGTATAAATTCTAGACAGCAACATAATCCTTGACTATGAACGTCGCAAGCTGCACAGTTTTCGATTTTAACAGCTTTTCAAAATATCATTACATTTTTTCTTTAGATTAGGATGGTTCATTAATTAGTTTTTCAAATGAAATTGTTAGTTTTGCTCTGACAGGCGTAAAGTACGGTCGGCGACGCGAAACAATAGTTTTGTATTTTAAAAAATCGCTGAATAAACACGGGAGTCACTCTTGTATGTTTTTATGTTAATTAAATATTTTTACCTGTTTTTACTGCTGTGTCTGCGAGGCTAAAACATAACTTAAGATTGTTATTCCAGTAAAATACAATGTTTAAAACTACGACTATTATTGTGATTGTTTTAGAAACGGGTATAAATCCACAAAGTCCTGCATTGTTTTCCGTGTCGTGACAAGTCATTACGTATGACGTAATAAAAATAAATACGCAGCTAGCTGCCATCAAATCCACAAAAAGCCAATTTGTCCTGAATATTTCACCGATAATATAGAAAGAAAATACTTCTGCTCCGCGCTTAAACGACGACTTTCCAACAAGATGATCTATTCAAAAGAGAGAATAGTTTTGGGGCGGCCGCGGTTTCGTTGAAATCATAGCAGTTTTCCTAGCCTGATACTCAGGCTACAGTATCCCGGAAAGCTCCACGGGACCTCAGTCAATCTTAAGCGAATTTTCTTTTAACCCTTAGCCTGCGTAGCAAGCGTTTCCTCGCGAGGTTCGTCTAGAAAGCTGGGACAAGAGCAAAAAAAAAAATTAATGACGGGGGAGGGGGAGGGGAACGAAGGAACCGCTTGCCCGCAAACCCCACGATTTTGAAAAACTGCGTTCGCCCACGAACGCAGCTTCTGATTGGCGCGGTGCGGGTAGTGTTGATTACTTAGCATTCAAAACATCAATCAAACCAGCTATGCTTTGTTTTCGTGCGTCAGAGATCTGGGGCGCTTTCCATTTAGTCAAAATTTCCGGAATTTCCGGTTCGGCGGTAAATGGAACACGTTTCGTCGGTTCGTCCCACTGGAAAATTCCCAGAAAAAGTGGAAAATCTAAAAAGGTGGTCCCGTTTACCCGGTTGGAATTTCCGAACGGAATGTCGTGTTCCATTGACGTTTCTTGTAGTTTGTACCAGTTCCAGGTCCACGGTCGGGCACCCGGCCACGTACCGGGGTTTACGACCAAATGGAACAACTTTTTACCGATCGGAAATTCCACTTTTGCTACCACCGAAATTTCCGGGTTTTTTTCGTAAATGGAAAGCGCCCCTGGTCTCATCCGATTTGTGGTCGCAGATTACAAATGCGTTGGACTGATTTTTGTTGGAATCGTGTTTGTGCGAAGGTTTATGAGATCAGAGTCTTCAAAGTATAATTGGAGATCGAGCAGTGGAGACGAGGGAAGGCTAATTTATTGAGAATGACGGCGCGTGGATCTGACGGGAAAAAATGGACTGTTTGTTGGAGATAACATCAACATAAATCAGAACATTGGTACTCGACACCAGCTAAAGCCGCCATGGACAAACGATTTGTCAGCTTTTTGAAATGGAAAGATTCTTTTTGTTTATTGGAAATTTAGCAACATCTATTGTAGAGCACGTTTCGACACAGGCTGAAGAGCAGCCGTTCTGCAAGACTTATACCCGGCGGAGTGAATTGTTCCGAACAAATTATTTTTGACGTGTCGACAAGGTTTCAGACGAGATAAAGCCACACAATAAAAAACAAGAAATCCCTAAGCAATCGCTCATAGTTTTAACTTTCTTTTATCGTAAATCTTTTTTATTACAGTTCTTGCAATCGTCTGCAACGTGTTCTATTAGCGAACAAAGTAATTTTACAAATCTGGTAATCCAGGGGTAATCTGTTCGTTATGCTTCTATTTTGACAAATGAACCGAACCGTGAAATATCAAGGGGCGTTTTCCAGAATCGTGGGGTTTGCGGGCAAGCGTTTCCTCTTCTCCCCTCCCCATCCCCCTTCAACCTTTTTTTTGCTTCCGCTCTCAGTAACTTTCGCGAATAACTCGATTGGAAACGCTTGCTACGCAGGCTATTTAACCCTTTACGCCCCAACAGTGTCCAAAATCAATTTTCTCCTAACGATATCCATAGATTGTTAACTGTAAAGTCTACGAGAATTCATAAAATGATCTCAAAGAGAAAAATCTTTGACTTTTCTCAAATTGTCTCAACTAATTCGTTAAGGAAATGTATGGAGATCAGTTTGGAGAATTTGTATGTGGATATTGGGGCTTAATGGGTTAAACCTACTTATGATTAGTAAAAAGAATAGTGTCCTTATTTTTGAACCAAAAATTTTTCTTAAAAATACATATTTAACAGACCAGAATCTTACTTTTCCATTTAAAGAACATGAAATCTTCGGCGGCGTACTTTCATATGACAACATGGGGGATTTTTTTGGGGCATGCTCAGGAGGTCAAAGGATGTGATTTTTCATGAAAAAAAAAAAATATTCACAAGGTTCTGCTTGACTTGTTTAGAAAATAATTTGTTTAATTTTTAACAATTAACTAACAGCTCACTGATTTATTAATTCGGGCGACCAAATGCAAGTTGGAGGCCCAGGCACCCCAGCTAAAATGTTTTGGAGACCAATGGGCTGTATCATAGGCCTGGGTCCCCTAGCTCAAATGTTTGGGAGCCGGAAGGGCTCCCTGAAATTTTCCCTCGAGCACAGCCTTGCAGCCCTGTAATTATTGGAAGTATGATACATAACATGCTATTGTTGAATGTGGAAGTGCATTTTTTGAGGACATTAGTAAAGGGAATGCAAATTTTAGTGAATTACCCATACTCTTAACATATATGGTGGTAATATTGCTGTAAGATTTGTTTTGAGTAGCAATGGAACCCCTGTGTGTAACTCATCTTCTAGTGTGCTAGTCCCTAACTCTCCTGCACACATGTGTTGTTGATACACTACTCAACTTTCTATTGCCATTCAATATAACGGTAATTCTTACTTACACCAACACATCCTGTATTTATGCCTTCGGGCGTCTTCTTGTTTACTGTTAGATTCTCCAAACGTTCATCCACACTTAAAAAAAAAATCAAAGAAAGATGGCAAATTTCAACCTTACTGTAAATGTATTGCACTACTCATTAAACACTGATAATCCGCGTTGGATTTGAACCTTGCAGGAACGACAGCTAGCAAAGAAAGCACCAGATGCGTGACGTCCATGTGCGCTGGCAACACGAAAAGAAAAATTATTAAATTTGAACTACTTATTATTTTTGTTATGATGACTTGGTCTGTGATTCTTGTCCTGTAGAAGTCCAGTTAATAGGTGGTACCATTCCTGTTTGCTTCTATCAAATATTCTACCATTCCAATTTTCTTCTATCAAAAATCTTGCAAGCCATTTCATTGAAGCCACAACCTCTGCGATCGGTCTGGAATATTCGAACAACCCAACGATTCCTTGCAATAAATAATACTTATTCTCTTACATCAAATGTTTTCTTTGAGAGTGTAAAACCTAGACAATAATGCTCTGTCTGCCTCCATCTGCAGTTGTGAAAAAAAATTTTTGAGCACTTGGTCGATGTTTTGGTGAACAAAAGCGCACCTTCTTATTGGTTCAACAGTGTCGCGTGACCAGTTTGCCCTGTCCCTAAATTTAGGGATATGGATCGTTTTCACTGTCACGCAACAAAAAAAAAATTGGAAACCGTCCAGTCATGGTCCAGTGGAAGAAGCCAAGGAAATGAAGTTTTATAAAAGACTAATATGTAAACAATTTGTCCAAGTCTAAGGTCTTTGGAGCTCACAGTTTCTGAGTTATTTGCCGAAACGTTTCACGCACCTTTGTAGAGCTCTGTGCACCAATATGGCAGCAGGAGATCAACAAAAACATCTGGAGTTCACTTTTTTTATAAAAGCTCTTTCATTTCACTCGACAACTAGCATAGTCGTGGACATAAACATATCTTCTAATACTTGAACTGGTTATACTGCTGAAAATCAAGAGGAGAAACTTTTTTTCAACGAGACAGCATTCCTATTTTGGTGTCACGCACTGTGAAAACTCGGAAGTTCAAATTGCTGTATTTTCGAAATGAAACATGCTACGAGAATGGAAACTTATACAAAAGTTAAGTTTTGTTTACCTTCAACCTAGTGTAAATAAGAAATCGTAAAACCTCGATATTTTGACTTTACAATTCGATGACGACATTGTGAAAACCACCTATTCCGCACTGGTCAATATGGCGTCGAAAACCGTGACAAGGTCTATTGACTTTTAAGGAAAGATGATGTTTTTTACAAGTCTTACGACCAAAAAATTAAAATTAAAATAAAAACAAAAAAGTAAAAGTGGCAGCGTTTGAAGAATACCTTTTGCTTGCAGACAACAAATACTGTATGTTAATTTCGATATTAATATTCAACCTTACTTCCGGTTCAACCAGAGATTCAACATCGACAGTAATTCAACATATTCATAATCACGTTGTATACGTAAAAAGCTGTAAAAAGTAGCTGTCCATGCTAAAGCAAAAGCAATATTTACCTAAATTTAACTATTTAATCTTACAATGAGTTTCCTGTCGCATTAAGCGAAGCACATTCAATAAAAAGAAAAACGAACTGCATATTTTGTGCGGAGCGTGTCATGATATAAATCGAAAAATTTTGAACTAGAACCTTAACTAAGTAATGCAGGTCGCTAACTAAGTTTTCGCACATCAAGTTAACAACTCACATGGTAATCCCTGGGAAGAAATGAAGGTAAAATACTCCGAGAAATATTGTAAAACACCAACTCAGTGAACAGGCAATTCTAGAGGGTTCCCAAATAACTGTGAACGTCACGTGGCTACGTAATGATCACGTGGAGTGAGTTTCCAGTCCCTCGGGACTGTCACAATCTTCTCCGTAAGGAAAAACTGCAAGAGCTAGCCCTCCCTCGACTCGCTTTGCGCGCCGATTTTTTTCCCCTTTTTGCCCGGCAAAAGGAGTTTGGTTCCCGATACGCTATGAAGAAACAAAAATACCAGTTTCGTTCCGCATTAGACATAAAAGCAATAGATTGTGTAGACGGCGAGCGGTCGTCCTTCTTTCCTGAGAGTGAAAAAGTGTAAGTATGCAAATTAATGATAAACTGTGAGGAAATTGTGCTGCCTTTCTTGTGACATATCAACAAATGGTTAGAGATTCTAGTCTTCTCGGATAAGGACAAAAAACCGTAGCTTCCGTCTCACAGCTCTTTCTCTGTTCCGATTCTTGTGGGACGTAAAAGATCCCACACTACTGTTCGTAAAGAAAATAGGGCATAAACCCAGGTGGTGTGGTACCTTTCATGGGCTTGGTGACGTGGGTAATGAAGGGGTTGATATCAATTACAATAAAGAAAAAGTTAAGTGATTAAAAAGAAAAACTAAGAGACTACTCGCAGTCCGATAGTTTGCACTTCTTATGTGAAGAAATAAGCTTAGGCGAGGTGTCTGGGACGAACTAAAAAAAAGAACTTGTCAAGCGAGAGCCAAAACTCACTGCTTTTAAAGAAGTTACCGGAAATAAACTTTTTTAAAAATTTTCTTTGACTTTTATTTTGGTTAGGAAAGTGAAATTACATTGACTAGCAAGCCAGGGGTACATTGTAAGCCAAGCCTCCTCCTCAGCCGCTTTGTTTTTCCAATGGTACGGGCGAGCGAGTGACTGGTAATGAACCGCAAGGGATCATGGTAAAGGTGTCTCCTTCCCGCCTTCCTTTGAGAGAGAGAGACGTCTGGGTACGAGGCAGTTGTAAGCCTTAATTCATTGCGACAAGAGGCAAACCAATGCACTGAATATTAAAAAGATCTGTTTCAGCCGAAAGTGCCAATTCAGCCCTGCAGGCCAAAGTCTGATTAAGGCCCTCCTGGAGCCATTTGAGCACAATAGGCTATTTGCGCGCTGGCGTCATTTCACTGCTACGCCCAGAATCCTTTTCGTTTTTCCTTTCATATTTAAATTTGGTAATCCCTGCGAGAGTTAAATAACAAAAGCTTAATTTGCACAAGAAAGCAAACCCCTGAAGGATCCTGGTCGTAGTGGTAAAATGACGTCATATGCAAATGGCCTATTTAAGCCAAAACAGCTCCATCAAAAGGCTATGCCAGTCCACACTGAGGGCCCATTTCAGTCCGTGGGTGCAAATCAGGCCTAGGTAATTGGACAGTATTGACCCTGATATAAGGGAGCCAAATGAGACTCAAAAAAACAGGACTGTTATTTTACTCACCGAAACGGTCCCATTTTTAGGGCCCAAACAGATCTTTCTGATTTACAGCGTGAGTCAGTTAAGTGCTAAGTGGTGGGGGAAGACACTTACAACACATTATAAATTCAAAGCTAATGCAATTTATTTTGTTCTTTCATTTTTTTAGTATACAAGACCACATTTTGCTAAAAACCAAGGAACGTCGACTTAACGATAAATGGTTGCCTATCGCAACGTTTTAAAGATATCAATTTAAATATTTCATTATTTTTAAAAACACGCTTTATCGTCTGTTTCCGCAACTATATACCTACCTTAAAATTTACCTATCAGTGAAACAACAGTTCTATTTATTTTATGGGACTAATTACTACAGAACCCACTAACTAAAGGGGGTCGTTCGTAGCCTGTGGACAGATAACCCCCCTCCCCTCAGTAAAAATCGGAGAAGGGGACCCTTGTCCGATTTTTCCTGAGGGGAGGGGGGGGGGGTCTGTACACAAGCTAGTTGTTCGTTCCTCATAGACTAAATTTTGATATGGACCAATCTACACAATCATTTGTTTTATCACACAATATGAATGACGCCTGTAAGCAGCTGTGTATTACATGATAAAAACAATAATAATAATAAAATATAAATTACCGCCTTCAGCATTAACACCTGCAAAACAAGTATAATTGAACCCGTTTGAACAGAATAAAAAAATTTGTAAAAGAAAACTTGCGCTTCCAATTGCACCAAGTTTGATTGTCAAAAATTAACTCGTACCTTTTACAAAGAAAACAAAATAAACCCTGTTGAAAAGTACAGCTTTTAACGAGTTTCAGTGTTTGTGCGAATGGGTGCGTTACTAAAGTTTCTTTTTTCTTCTACATAATTTTTTAGTTTAATCGCATTCTCAAGCTCCAAAATGTCGTAGAAATTCGAGTTCATTTCAATGCAAGCTAGAAGCAGGTTCTATCTAAGATTTATTGTTTGGAGGAGACGTGCCGAGTATCCGAAGGCCATGAGTTTCCTGGTGGGGTCCGGGGGCGTGCCCCCCCGGAAATTTTTTAAAATTAACATGCGCTGAGATACAATCTGTTGCATTTTGTGAGACAATTTTAATAAATGTTACAGTGGTATTTTATTTTTAAATAATACTCCAGGTTCCTTGTCATATAGTGTCCTTAGACAGGGAATTCTTACTTCATGTGCACTGACCTCGTCGCGTCTGGACGATTTTTTCCAATATAGTTACTTATACCCTGTAATGATAACAATATTTTTGGGGGAGGCTGGGTATTTTTTGGGGGGAGGAAGCTTCTACCCCTCAAATACCTTAGATTGAACCCTGCAAAAAAGACTGAAAAGCAGAAAAATTGATCATGAACGCTACCCTTCCTTGAGACCAACTCTAACTACGGACTAGCACTCGAAAAGTCTGCACGGCATTTCAACTTATCCACAGTAATAACTATTTGTTGGATGACTCTTCAATGCGGTGTAGGCCGACAATAGGGACTTTAAGATCTAACGACGCGGACGGTAACGAGAACGTCAAAAAAACAAAAGGTTTTATAAGCAGAACAACAACTTTGCACGTGCATCGCGCTTTTTTGTGCATTTCTTTGTCCATTTTTGCACGACTACGACGTGAAAATTCCTAATCTGGCGTTTTATGGAGGACGTAAACAAGCAACGACGAAATTTAATTTCTCTTTCTGTACTTGGATATGGTCTCTAGGAATTCAACTCCAGGAGGGTTCGCCTACATTTGACAAAGTAAGTGGGTAGGAATAATTGCGATAAAGACTGAAAGAACGCAAATTCACTTTTTAAGCGACGTTCTCATTGCCGTCGCGTCGTTGGATCTTGAAGTCCCTAATGAGCGATTATCACAGCAACGCTGGTTCGTTGAGGTTCATTCTTTAGTCACTGTTGGCATTCTTGGCACATTGAGTCGGTCTGCCAGTTTATCCTAAATAGAGGGAAAGTTTAAGAGAATAATATCACAAAGGGTATTTTAAAGAAAAGAAAAAAAAATGTTGTTGTCTGTGCTGGGTGTCTTGTTAATCTTTATAATGGTCTTGTCCAAAAAAAAACAAAACAAAAGAAAGCAAAAAAAGTATGTTCTTCTTTTTTTGTTCCACGAAACGGACATGTATCACAGTGAAAGTGTATAAAGAGATTTATTACGCAAGACTATTGCCGTGCTACAAACTGTAAAACACTTAGTCTTACCATAGCAGACAGTAAATTTATGTGATAATGAATACCACCATCTTGCTCTACTTTGCGCATGTGTTCCCTTTCCGGATCGCCAGCCACAAGTACTGCAGATTCACCCTCAATCTGATGAAACGCAAAGTCAAACCTCACTTCAAACAGCATTGCATAAAGAATTTTCTTCTAGACTTAAACAAAGTACTTCGTATTTCCGAGGCTCTGTTTTACTCGCTTACAGCGCGCCAAGTTAGGGAACCTAAAAGGGCTCGCTAAATATATTGCATAGCTGAAGCCAATCACACTCAAGAATGCCAAAAAAAATTGTCAATCATCGTTGTTATCACACAAGCTTTGCGACCTCTGAGCGGTTCCTCAAGCGATCGATAGAAAAGCATCCCCTAATTTTTTTTTGCGAAAAACGAGATTCAAATCTTTCATGCAAAACATGTCGACCTCTCGCCACCTCATGAAAGCTCAGTAAAAGCTTAATTTAGTGTTTTACCCTTGGTGAATGTGCTGATTTTTTCGTGAAGAAATGAATCCACAACGTTTAATTCCGGTGAGGTCGCTTTAATGGCGTTGGATAATTTTAACATTCCACTAGCAGGCACTTACCGGTTTGAGGTTTCGCAAATGGTCCATGAGAGACTGCATACGGTCTTCGAATCCAGCAGCAAAAACACTGGGATTTAAAGCAACAAAGCATTGTCCCTAAATATACAAAACAAATCATAATAAAAAACACGCACAAAAAAAAAGCAAGGACAGCAAATCAACTCAAGGCATTTAAAGCGCTCACCAAATTGGCGACTCTCTCGTCTCCTGACCACCGCCTGATGTTTGGACCAAACGCCGCATCGGAAAGAATCCCGCAAAACACTTCAACCATGACTGCTAAACCATAGCCTTTGAAGCCACCTGAAAGGAAATAGAATGCCGTCCAGTCATCACAGAGCAGTAAAAATCTAACTTTAAAACTGTGTTGAAATCAAATGACCCTGGGAGCAGATCCTCCAAATGTGCTTTTTTGGCTTCTTCCTAATCAAAGAAGAGAAAAGGAGGCTCTGTCTACTAAGAGTAGTAGCCACAATAATAAAATAACCTAATTTTTAACTATGTAGCAGATTTAGCAGAGTCAACGCAGCGTCAAATGAAATCACGAGAGCAGCGCCAAATGATCGTCAAATAAGAATAGTGTCAAACGAGAACACAAGAGCTTACAGAAAGGACTGAACACGACTGCCGGTGCTCAATTTTCCTTTTTCACTGCCATAATTCTCTGACATTGATTAGCCATTGGTCAAGATGATGTTTACTGAGACCTGCGCGTAACGTAGTCACTGTCGTTTTTCTTTTTTTTTTTTTTTGAAACGAGACTTAAACGCGTCAGTGCTTATGCTTGTGTGGTTATGAAAACCTGTCCTCTCTCAAAACCAAACATCTCTGCCGCCATTGTTATAAGCTACATTTTCGGAACAACTATGGGCGGTTTAAGCGGGAGCACAGTGTATGTATAAAATTTTGTGGCATTTCTAAAGAGTTCTGTCAACGATTCTGTTCTAGAGCCTTTTTTCCTGGACAAAATACTTTCAGAATTCTTGAACACACCACATAGGGATCAGTCCTTTTTTTTCAAAATGTGTCCGGATCCGTCTCTCCTTAAATGACTTACTTGTGATTTCCATTCCACCAAGAGGGAGTTGCCCACCACCAGTTAAAACTTTGTCTGGATAGACTGTTTCCTTTAAAACAAATCAAGCAAGTCAGAGCATCAGACGAAGTAAAAACTTAATTAAACAGGCCAAAAAATATTCAGAAACCTGGAAGCATTCCTTTTACAACAATTGCTTGATGGCCAGGGTCGATTTGTAAAAAGAATCACTTAAGATAACTGGGACTGCACTCGTTAAAATTATCGTATCAAAACGGTCCATAGATTACTTTCCCAAAACAATACTTAAGGGTGCACATATCCAAAGAACATTTTTATAAAAGCGGCCCCAGGAGGCGATGATCTTTTAATTTGTTTTGCCATCAATTGCATGGTTCTTTTACAACTACATCAGTTAAAATCCTTGCAAGGTTTCCAGTCACTGTAGTCCCTAAAAACTCGCACACACGCAGTGACTTTATACAGGGGCTACCACGCCAAAAAATGATGCTTCGTGCTACAAGAATCTGTAGCCAGCTGCTGACCTTACTTCCTCCTCCCCCCACCCTCCCCCAGCCATCTTTTGCTCCAATAACAGCATTAAAGTAGCAAGAATTTTTATCTCGGATAAAGCTGATCATAATTGTGCACTGGTGAATCAGTCTTGAACAAAAGTAACTCTCACCTGCCCTGTAGAATCCACACCCCAGCCATGAGGAATTTCCACTCCTTTCCTGTTTGCCATTTCTATCTGAAGTGAAAAAGACACAAGGGACAGTCAAGGCCTGAACTGGTCATTTGCATAAGTTTTACAGTTCGTGTGACTTGTAGAGGATATTTAGGTTGTGGCAATAATATGAAAAATAAATATTAAAAATTTCAGTAACCAAACATTCAGGCCCTTGGTGATGGATCCGGGTGGTGAAAGATCCGGCAAAGAAATGTACAAAAAAGCGTGATGCACGTGCAAAGTTGTTGTTTGCTCATTAACCTGAACCGCTTTTTTGATGTTCCTGTTCCCGTTGCCGTCACCGTCTTAGTGTCGTAAGGTCCTTTCGACGGCGACTTCAACGGCTATAGGTTTCCACCGGTTGAAAATTCCTGCTTTTAGGTGTTCCGTTAACACCAAATGACCTTAAACATAGGAAAATTTAAACGCCTAGCAGTTCAAATTTTTGTGTGAACAAAGCGAAAGTATTGAACGGTCCCGTGTGAACCAAGTGTCCAGTCAAATTTTCCCACCGGTCGAAAATTCGATCGGTGAGGTGAGGTTGCACGTGCAGAACACGTAGCTTTTTTGTAAATTTCTTTACCGTTGCTGCACAACTACGACGTGAAATTCCCAAATTTCAAGTTTTATTAAGAACGTTAATAAGCGACGACGAACCACTGTTCCGTCTTTTTGAACTCAGATCTTTTCTTAAGAATTCAACTCTCTGAAGAGTTCGCCTGCATTTGGCATAATCGCCCTGAACGTTTCAAAAAAGGGGAAGTTACTTTTTAAGCGAAGTTTTCACCGTCCTCGTCGTGTGTGGCACCTTTAAAAACTCCCTAATAATGTAAACGTCAGAAAATTATAACCCTGTAACTCTTCCTAACGTTCCCTACCAAATTCCTATCCACTTACCTTTCCAAGAGCAACAGAACTTGTTGCCATATCAAGAACAAAGCTATCACCATCTTTTCCTGGGGCAGCCACTGATATAGGATTAGTACCTACCGTAACCTGACAGAGAAAAAAAATGATCTCTTAACTGAGGTCAAAAATCACACTACGGGTGCCTTGAAATCTCTAAACCATGGAAGCATTATTTGTAATGTCTCAATGGTAAAACTATTGTCAGAATTTTTTTCTCTTGAGTCGCAGTAGGGGCTAGAGTTTTTTGTGGGTTTGGTCATCTCAGTGAGTCTTGCGTCTTATTACACCGCCTACCCCTACATGTTAAGGCCTGTTTACATGAAGGTTGGGGACCCCAGATAGGTGAGGTAACAGGTGGCGGGTCACCCCACCTATCATGTAAACGAGATCAAATTAAAATGAGAGATTATATGGACAGGCGGGTGACCACACCAAAGTGGGTTACCTCACCTACCTGGGGTCCCCCACCTCCATGTAAACAGGCTTTTAGAGGAACTCAGTCGACAAACATTAAGCAAGACAAAGTCAGCAAAGAGAATGTGGTGCAACCAAACTCTGCAGCTACAACAAAAATAGAAAACTCAAAGAAACAAATAAAAGTATACTATGGCAAAACAAAACAACAATGAGCCAAAAAAAGGAGGGCTTGAGCTCACCAGTGCCATTTTTCCCGCTCCTTGCCCAGTTGCACGTGCGCATGTGCCTTTATACACTGTCTCTAAAATGTACATACCTACCATAATGATAATTTTGTGGCAGGAACTTTTCAATAGAAATGATTGGGACATACACGACAAAATCTAATAAGAATTAAGGGTCATTTAAAATAAACATACCTCACGAGCTCTAGTTGGCACTACCAGTGGTGAAGTGTTTGTGAGACTCATCCCCTAAAACAATAATCAGTAAAGCACAAGGTTATGATGCCGGCCCTACTTGTTCAAAAGGTGGATAACACTATCCACTGGGTAAATCTCTATCCAGTGGATAGTCCAATTGGTTTCTCTTAGGCTAATACTTATCCACTGTAAATAACAATTATTCACCGAAGTGGAGGTTGCTAGTCGTGGATATTTTACCGAACTGCGAAGCAGTGAGGTAAATATCCACGACTAGCCACCGACACTGAGGTGAATAATTGTTTTAGTATATACTAAAACAGTGAGATAATTGAGCACAAAAATGATGATTTTTAACTCAAATACTGTTGCCAACGATTACAATTTTGGCGCGTAATGACCGGGCGGCCGCGGCCGTCGCTTTTTCTTGCCGACAATTAAAACTTTTGCAGACATTTGTTTAGCTCTTGCGGGGAAATTTCTTCAAAAAGAGGTGTGCATTCTTTTTGTATTTAAAATCATTCTATAACAAAAGATTATTAAATTTAGTTTTAAGCTTATTTATGAACAACTCAACTAAATAAAGTAACGCAAGACTTAAACTTAATTTGCATTTGTAAACAAAAATTTTTTCACCGGTTTTATCGATAAATTCGTGTCAAAAAGACAAAGCTTTACCTGTTAAAACTTCCAATCCGAACTTCGTCACCATCTTCGTGTATTTTGGAAACAGCTTGCTTGATTAGTTGTGAAATTTCTTTGTTTGTTTACGGCAGCAAACCGGGAAGGCATTTTGCTCGCAACTTACGCGAGTTTGGCGTCGCTCGCTCGGAGGAACTGGAGGTGAATCAGTGAATAGTGCAGGATATTCACTGATTGAGTAGCCAATCAGAGCGCGTGAAAAACACTATCCACTGTTTTAGTATAATACTAAAGTGATTTATCTGGAGGATAGCGCTATAAGCTTTTGAACAACAGGGGCCTAGTTTATATTGCCTGCATCTATACAGTCAAACCTGCCTACAACGGTCACACATGGAAAATGGCAAGGTGACCGTTATATACAGGAAGACCGCTATATACAGGTCAACTTTGTAGAAAATATAAGGCAACTGAAAATTTGATTGTAATATACAAGGTGACCACTATAATTTTTGTTTTTTTATACAGGGTTGTATTTTAACCCACAGTCTGGACCCAATTCTGTACTGCTCATGGCTTATGGTTCTTGGACACATCTCTAAACAGTATTTTGTTTTTCAACAGGACATGGCAAGTGATTGTGAGCTTAATTAATGACATGGTAAAAGCTCATGAACTTTGAATAGCCTGATGAAGGATGTTTAACAGACAATCTTCGTTATGCATTTTTAGGGCTTAGGACATAGTACTTCACAATCCTCACTTACCGACGTTGTGTCATGCTAATAAACTGAAAGGGTGTCAGTAGAATGAAACTGATATTAATATTTACAATAAGACCTTGCTCCACAGCCTTCATGGTGTACCAGCCAGCAATGCCATAATGATTTGAACCTAGCAGAATAATAATATTTATTATCATAAATTTCATAATATTACAAGACTATGATTGCGTAAAACTTAGATATCAACCTGTGTTGAGTTTAGGTGAGTAAGGGGCTGTCCACATTTTGTGCCCAGGAACCAGTGCCCACCAATGGGTACCAGTACACAAAGATGTTGGGTCCACACCTTGAGTACGTGGAATAAGACTCTGTGTACATAGTTACTCCATTTTGCACTGTCAGACGCCATTGTGGAACATGAGCTTAGCAGCGAATTAATACAGCAGTGGACTGTCCCAGAAGTAACAAAATCAGTGTGCACAGAGAGACCCAGTGCCAAATTTTATGCTTGAGAATGAGGTCTTTCACTGGCACTTGAGTACTTGAAAATTTTGGTGCTAAGTAATTACCATACTGGAGCGGTGTTCCCCGGTACCAAGTGTGAACACTGCCTTAAAGTAGTATAGGCTCAGACCTGAGTGTAAGAAATCTGCATCTTGTATAAACTGACACTTCATAAAAGATAGCCTATGCATAGCCACACCCTTTTTCCCTTCTTTGGGGGGAGGGTGTGGCTACATGTAGTCTAGATAAGACTCAGTTACCTCTACAAACTACCCAGCCAATTCCAGTGTCTTGTGCTTTCTTCATTGCCAACTCATTGCAAAAGTTTCCAACAACCTACATGTCAACATATACTCAGCAAAATAAATATTGAGTGGTACATCTTTTGTAGTATACAATTATTATAGCAGAGCTCTCATCTGTCCGTTTGTGTGCAGCACAGAGCAGCTCTGACGTGAAATGACATTTTGTAGCCATAACATGTAATAAAAAAACAGAAATGCTAGAGATCAGACTTTTCATGATTTTGTATCCATCAGCCCAAACCTTATGTAGTAAAGAAACAGCAATTTCATCTACCAAGTACCAGGGGTGGATTTTCAGCACCAAATGAAACTATACCACTGTAAATCCTCTATTAAGCCCCCTCTTTCAAATAAGCCCTCCTTCTCTAATCAGGGTCGGCCAGGGTTTTTGGGTATACGGTATACAGGGGCTTTTTAAATCGGGTATACAGTATATTGCAGCTTAAATACGGGTATTCGGTATATCACTTTCTTTGAATTTCAGGTATAAAGTATACCTGGGTATAGTTTTAAGTACATTTGGATGAATTTTGGGTATTTTGGCAAATTTTTTTTGGGTATACTAGTATACTACTACCCCCCCTGGCCGACCCTGTCTAATAACACTGCCTCCACAACCCCTTTTCAGGGGGAAGAAAGTTAGTAAGCTCCTTCTCATTATTTAAACCCCTCCCCTCCCCCACCCCCACCCTCAATCAGGGCTTCTGATATTTCGCGCGGTCGCGGACCTGCGAAATTCAGGTATTTCCGCGAAATTCCCAAAAAAAAACAAGAAATACCGTGAAATCCGCCAGAAATATTTCCAAATACATGTCGGCAAAACATATTTAATACTTATCTTGGCTATTAGACCTGTTTTATTCACCCCAAACGTCCAAATTTATCTTGAAACTTCATCACTGCAACGAGTAAACAACGTCCCAAAACTACCAGGCGTTCTTAGATTAATGTTGCGCAAAACTGGGCACTAACCATAATGTTAATAGCTTTAGCATTCGCTCATTTCTCGAGCGAACTGTTGTTGAAAGAGCAAATGATTATCCCTGTTAAAAAAAACGTTAAACAACGCTGGTCTTATCGACACAAAATTGATCGATTTTAGCGAAATTTGCTAAAAAAAATCCAGCGAAATCGGCTGCTTTTTACTGATTGTTTCTTGGCGAAGTCTCCCCCCATAAATTTGCCCCCGAAAATCCTTCGAAATTTGACTTTTTTCCCGCGAAAATCCCGCGAAATCGGACAATTTTTCTGCGAATTTGCCCCTGCAAATCCCGCGAAATTTTGCTTTTTTTTCCGCGAAATATCAGAAGCCCTGCTCTATTGAGCCTGCCCTCAAACATGCTTGAAATAAACCAGCCCCTGGGGGTTTAATAGAGGATTTATGATAGACTAGACCTTTGGGTGTTAATAAGTCAGTCATATCACCACATATCTACACCTTTTTATAAACTAAAATAAATAAAAATGAACAAACAAGCAAATATTACAATAAATAACTAAATAGCAGACAACCAGATGGTAGCTAGGAGAGTGTAAAAAATCATGGATTCAATTTATTTTGTTATAACCACTTACTGGTCCAAGCAGGTTGTTCCCATCCACAAGTGCCGTAGCAGAAGTCTCATTCACCACTTCAGGCTTTCCTTCCAGAACCGTGGTACCAACTTCAATATCATGAACATACATTTCTAAAATTAACAAAAAAAGGCTTTTTTGTAAAACTAGCTGCTAAAACTGGAAACACAAACTTTGCTGTTTCTGAATTAACAGTGACATACCTCCCCTGACACTTCTCTATAGCTACTGTATCACAGATATTTTTATTCAGGTCCCATGAATACCAACAATAAAGCTGTCATGAGTAACTGCCTCATGTGTGAGGAAGCTAGAGATGGCTATTTGCAAGAATGATATTGGTGGTCCCTTATGAGGGCTTACAGGGAGGATGCTTTACATTTTTGTATATTGCCATTGGAGCAACTTACTCAGTTTGTATTCCTGTGTGTAAAAGTCAATGAGTCATTATATAGTTGTTTATGTTCTGTATTATCTTAAATTTGATAAATTTTTCAGGATTCAATATTGCCCTTTCTTTCAAAAGAACTTAACAAAGGAAAGACCAGGCAGGGTGCAAAGAAAATCATTTTTACAGCTTGCCATTCAGGCAAGATGAAGCTAGTATTCACTAGCCCAGACGTCATTTCAACTAGCCCCAAAAACTTTTTGACTAGCAGAATTGATTTCACACTTCTTCTGTTATTCGAATTCCTCAAAAAACATCACTTGCCCGTCGGGCAAGTTAAACACAGAATTCACTAGCCCGATAGCAAAATCCTCTAGCCCCAGGCTTTCGGACACTACTTTCTTTGCACACTGCCAGGAAGAGGTGCCCCTAATTGTTTATGGGAGGGGTCATAGTTGAAACAGGTGAGGGCTGATCACTTGCAAGAGCTTCAACTAAACAGGTCTTCATATATTCATACTACTATAATAATGGAGACTTCTGTAATGGGTTGCTATATAGGGTTAATAAAGGCCATTTTCTTAGGTATCTGCTTTAGGCACTGCCATCAGGTACACGTGAACTTTGTAAATGAGAGAAATATGATCCCATAGTGCAAGGCCTGTCAATGGAGGGGGTTTTTTGAGGGCCGGAGCCAAGCATATCGTCTACTTGTTGCACATTTAATGGTGCCCTTGCCTGGGGGGGTTTGTTGGGAGGTACTTGGCTGGGGATATGCCACAGGCCTCTAAGAGACCCTACCCCATTATAGTCTATTCTGTGGCCAATTATCAACCCCATCTTAGCCACTTTTGGGCAAATATGTAATTTTCACAATCCCAACTTAGTCCCTTTCTATTTTTATGAACTGGCCCATTTTTTAGGTTCAATGAAGAACACTTTACTTTTCACCTGCAATACAAACATACTGGTATGTTCGCAAACTGTAAATATGAAGAACTGTCTTACCCCAAAAAATCCGAAAATGTGCGACCCTATTCTAGTAACTCTATTGAAATATGCAACCCCATTATAGTTAATTCAGAAGTGAAAATGCGACCCCATCCGGCAGCATATCCCCATTAGCCTCTTATAAGGAAGTACCCCCCCCCCCCCGGTAATGGTGTTACTTTCACATAAAATAACTATATTCTCATGAAGCAAAATGATTCTGCATCTGTTTGTTAAGGATAAAACTTAAAACCTGTGATATGCTCACTTATGAAACTCACAAAATCGGAACTGGAATCTGGTCTTAGGAACGCACGTTCAGCTTTCCCGGGGGGACCAATCACCATCCCCCTGGATTATCTCCTGGCCCTTTGCATTTTTTGCCTCCACTCTTGTTTTGCTTATGAGTTCGGTAAAATGGTCAAAATATGAATGAAAACTTTGGCGATGTTATTTCAGAAATTTACACACGGGTTCTGTTTGACGTTCCGTAACTTTCTACTCTCCCACCTATCCCCAGTTTCAAAGTAGAGGGCACGATAAGGTTAAAAACAAATTCAAACTAACTATTCAAACTAAGCCATGTCTTTATGCACGTACTTAACCTTTTCGGCTAATATAATTCACGAAGACTAAAACTGATCAATAATTAAACCCGTTATTTACCTCACCGTATGATATCTATCACTTAGAAACACTCAGATCTCACCTAATCTATTTAATCCATGGCTAAAGTGTCCTCTCGCATCCCCCGCGACAAGAACTTGTGATAGAGCTCGGCAATGTTCCTTCGGAGTTCCAACAGCCCTCATACACCGTTCAATAAACGATTCCGCTTCTTCTACAGCCACACATTTGTGCTCATCTAACAATCGTCCACTAGTAGATAAGTTTCGAATCGATCGTACCAGACGGCTACACAAGAACTTACTTCGGCCTCTACTGACTCCCGCCATCTTGAGAATTAATTTGGTCACACGTACCTGCATGCGTGAACCTAAAAGCAATTGACACTCTATTGTTGTCTCGTCGTCAGGTCACGCAAGCATCAATTTCGTGCTGTTTTTCCGACACACATCTATGTCCCCCCTCCCTTTTTCCCTATCCCCTGCCCCTTTCAACGCCTACTACGCAGGCTACACATATATAGTCTGTTAGAACAAAAGAAATGTGGCAGTCAGAAGAGCTTAAGAAGACAGGGTAATGGGCCAGGCGGCACCAGGTCCTGTAGCACTAGGGGGAGGTGAGGGTTACGGAGAGGGGAATAGAGGGGGGATTACTTGGCAACTGAGAAGGTCATACAACTACATCGGTTACTACTTCATTACCGCAAGAATTTTTATTTCAAATTAAACAATTGAGGCTGAAAGTATTGTATCTTTCTTTCCCACAGTCTAACAATTTTACAATCGCTAGTACAAAAGTATTGTATCTTTCTTTCCCACAGTCTAACAATTTTACAATCGCTAGTAGTGGATGGGCAATAGAGTACCGAAGTGATGACGTCATAAAAATGAAATTTGTGAAATTATGGGATTTGTTAAGATATTCTGAAAGAACAACGTCCAAGACGCCTACTCGCCAAAAATTAGCAATTCGGGCCAAATTGTCTCTGAGATATTAGCCCAGTTATGCTGTGACGATTCCATACAAATCCTTCTAAATTTGGCTTGGTTCATAAGATTAGGAACCAGGTAAGATTTAGAAGGATTTGTATGGAGTCATCGGAGCATATCTGGGCTAATATATCAGAGACAATTTGCCCCAAATTGCTAATTTTTGGCGAGTAGGCGTCTTGGACGTTGTTCTTTCAGAATAGCTTAACAAATCCCATAATTTCACAAATTTCATTTTCTATGACGTCACCCTTCGGTACTCTATGATGCACGTTATTACACCGTTAACCGAGAAGACCTGGGGGCGAGGTTGAGTTGTTTTGGTTGTGAAAAAAAAAAAATGGCGGACATTTCACTCGTTTTAAGAGTAAGAACCAGGCGAAATTATAGTTAAAAACATGGCAAGAACAGCAAGAACACAACTCGAAGGGCGACACTGTGCTATTTGGAGGATATTGGAAGAGCTGAACAACCCTAAACGTGCACTATCGGAGGTGAACTTAACATCGATGGAGGTAAGCATGTTTTAACTTTGTTTTTAAACTAAGAATTATTTTGAATGAATAATAAAACAATTATTGAATTCAGCTTTCATATCATATGAAGAATTATGGAGATCTCGGAGGGTGCTATCCGCCTCGACCTTCCTCGATCTCCATATATCTTCATAAGATACTCAGCCTCAGTCATTAATTTTTATTCATTTTTCAGTTTTTATTCATATTCGTTTGTCTTTCCTGTTTCGAAGTACAAGCTGTATCAGTTGCATTTATTAAGGCCAGGGACCAATCATTGTTTATTAGACGGGGGAATGAGAAATAAACATTTTTTTTCCCATTCCCACGTCAAAGTGAATGTACATTTTTTATTCCGCAGGGATAGAGAAACAGTAAAAAAAGTGCCTCTTACCCTCGAAATTTTTGGTTATGTTAACTGAAAGAACACATCAGTGCCTACTATAACTTCTTAAATGTGCGATGAAAATGGGATTTCTAGTTAAATTTCTTTCGCACACCCGTTCCGTTGATCAAGAAAATGTTTGGCTCATGTGTGACGTCATGAGACATAAATTTAGATCGACTGGAAAACGGGATTTTATATGGCCTGGGTAGCTGACGCAAAAAGGGGAGGTGAGGAGGGATTACAAGAGCAGAGCCCAAAAAGCTCGCGTCATAGTTTATAATCCTCTCAACTTCCGGTTTGAACTCATGCAAAGAAAAAAATCAACACAAAGATCAATATTAGTAGTTCAATATTCCTAGATGGTGGGACATAGAGAGTCGGGACGGGAAGCGCGAAAATTTCACTTACCAGTTTAAAATTTTCATTCGCACAAGGCATGCCCTCTAAGATATGAGAACTTTTTCGAGTAGAGCGTAGCCTCTTTATCAACGCGCGTGAGGCCTGCTGCATGCACAATCATACATGGAAACGAGTTCAATTCGCATGTTAATTATTACTTCGCCTCACTTTAGAGGTAACCTGTGATCTGGAGGTCCTTCTTCCCTTTTGTTTGGGAACAGGTTACATTAAAGGTAATACGGATTCCAGAATCTGGGAAAATTTTGCTTGTGGAATCTGAAATCCTAGGTTTGGAATCCGGAATCCCACCAACGATCCTGGGCTTGGATCCGGAATCCAAGTTCCACTGACAAGGAATCCTGCAATCGCAGCGTGGAATCCAGCATTCAATACTATGTTAGATTAAACTACAAGGGACCAATTGCTTAATATTTACATCGAGGATGACCGTCAGAACTCACTCAAAATATAAATAGAGCTAGGCTACAAGCAATTCTTAATTGCTTATTCAAGTGTGGTTCAATTCAGCCTTATTTCCGCTCCAGATCGATCTCCCCGTCTTCCCGTCGTAGGAATTAAGCAAGGCGATTCCGATCCCAGTCTTCAACGCCGGAATACGTGGAAAGTTATCTCCAGTTCATTAGCCTGCGAAAAGAGCCGTCAATCTTCAACGTCCCTGGCAGCGAGGAGCGAGGAGAAACGGCAGTTTTGGCAGGCTACGAGTTCATTTCCGGAGTCATGCCGACTGCGTCGAGGAGTAAAGATAAAAGGCTTATAATTGCTCTGAGAAATATTCCCTAACCAGTGTGATCAGACATAATTTTCCCTAATCATGTGTCCTAGTGCCTGCTACTCATCTGAGCAGATCGAGAACAAGCTCACATGGCCGGAAAGGTTTAAAGTTATATCGCGTCTTAGTGTTGTACTTTTAAAGAGGCTATATATAACGAGCTTAAAACTGTTTTAGGTCAATTCTGTGGTAAGTCATCACTTAGTTCCCTTACCCATCCACAAAATGCTTCTTTAAGCTGGAGGAGAGGATATGAAGCAAATTTCAACAGGAATTTTATTTCGTCACCGGTCTATGTCACAAGGAAATCACGTGAGATATGCGTGTGCACCTTCGAGTTCAGTTGCTTGTTAACCTTCAAAGCGTTTAGAGCTACGTCGACCACTTTCACTGTTTTTAGCGAGAAATTTTTTCCTAGAATCTTACATAAAACAAACTATCTGTACTGGAGCCGTTAGCGGCTATAGACTACTACTAAACTTGGACCTGACAGATTCATCCCGGATCCAGAATTCAGGGTGACTGCGAGGGCAGAATTGGAAAGAGAAGACGAAGACACACTCCTTAGTGACGATGATGCGAACAACTCAGACCTAAGGACAATTCCTGTCGTTTCAGCAAAAGCTAACGACTCGTTGGAATCGACACTGTTGAAGCTCAATGACAACATGTTGTCAGTATCTCAGTCTATGAGCTCGATGCAAGAAACCCTTGCTAGATTTGCCGATGGCCAGAGACACTCGAAAAGGCCAAGAGTTGATGAATTGTCTGACTCAGACACCGACTCGAATAATGACGCTTCTGAATCAGACAGCGACACGCTGCTTAAAAAAGGAGAGAAGAGTAACCCGACACGCGCGGGAGTCGAAAGATGATTCGCTCGACACGATAGCAAACGATCTGAATGCTGACGAGCAAACCGACCAGGATGTTTCGGAAAAGCTCGCCAAACTCTTCAGTAAGAGATGGTCGTAGAAACTAACTTCTGATAAACACTCTGAGAAATAAAAGAAGCATTCCTGACCCGGGAACCTTGGGAGCTCAGTTACTACACGTGTAAACCCCGAAATATGGACGAACATGAGCCATACGGCCAAAAGCGTCCATCTCAGGGCAGCCAAGGCTGGATACCTGGAGAGGGAACCTGAGGCATGATCATCATAAGTTACTTTTTAGTTATCAGAAACCACACAGGCCAGTTTCCAAGGACACTGTTAGTAGATGGTTGAAGATGGAATTACAGCTTGCTGGCGTAGATACTTCCACCTTCAGTGCCCACAGCACAAGAGCTGCATCAACCTCAGCAGCAAAAGCCCAGAAACTCTCAATTACCACCATCATGGCTAGTGCTGGTTGGTCATCTGAAAACACCTTCACAAAATATTACAACAAGACAATTTCCAAACCAACAGATAACTTTGGAAAACAACTACCCAATGCTTTGCAAAAATAAAGCTTTTTTCGTAGCCGAAGCTGAGTTCCGGTTAATAGGTTTTGGTCGATGTTAGATAGGATTTCGTGACGTGTTGACACTAAATAACATCGACCGAAACCAGCGTTCCTTGGAAAGACCATAAGCAGCGTCGTTCAATGCAATACAGCGAAGCCTGTTACAGATTTAACATTTTTTTAGTGATATAAACTGGAAACGACAGTATTGACCGTTTTATGACTCAAAGTAACTGAAATATAACATTTTCGCTGCGATCGATCAAGTGATCGGAAGTCGACGGGATCATTTCAGTTAGGCTCGATTACCAGCCGCTGTTCGGGAGATGAGCCCCCGCTCCTCTCCGACCGAGAGAGCGGTGGAGATGTAGCCTAGCTAAAACTGTTCTTCACATCAATTGATTTCCAAAGTGATGGTCCAGTTTTGTTATTTAACACTAAATCTAGGTATTTTAACTGTTTCCTGTCGTCGCTTGAAACGGATGGACATGGATTAAAACTTTAACAAGTTTGGCTAACTTTTTCAAGTTATGCTATGCCTGAACTATGAAAAATTCTTCAAAAAAATCTTGATTAAAATTTGAGAAATTAAACGAGACTTACCTGTAATGATCCCGTCGACTTCCGATCACTTGATCGATCGCAGCGAAAATGTTATATTTGAGTTACTTTGAGTTATAAAACGGTCAATACTGTCGTTTCCAGTTTATATCACTAAAAAAATGTTAAATCTGTAACAGGCTTCGCTGTATTGCATTGAACGACGCGTCTTATGGTCTTTCCAAGGAACGCTGGTTTCGGTCGATGTTATTTAGTGTCAACACGTCACGAAATACTATCTAACATCGACCAAAACATAATAACCGGAACTCAGCTGCGGCTACGAAAAAAACGAAATCAAAGAAATCCCGCGAGAGTGCGAATCCCATCCGTTTTGTTGCTATATTTTGAGTCTCAAACAGTAGTTTTCCAGATTTTCGACTTTCACCTAAGAAAGTTTAAGAAGTTCATAGTAAAAAAGTTTTATTTCCACAATCACATGCCAAAAATTGGCGCCAAATGTAAAATTTTCCAACTGAGAATACTCTGTGAATGACAATGGCGGGAGCAGAATCAAGCGATACACCGTGGTTATCTCTATTTTAAGTCGCATACGATCCATATTCAGGATATATAAACCTTAGAGCTTATTTTAAAAAGCGTACGAATTTGCCACTACCACCAGTTTAGCCGTTTTATGATATTTAATTTAACTGAAAAAGACAAGAGGATTTTCCAGCAGTGGTAAGCACTTTGTACAAGTGTCCACCGGCTAATTTGTATTTTCCACACGTTTACAGTACAAAAATCACGTTTGACGACCATCTTTATTCTTCAAGTTCACAGTAACTAATATATTTTAGAACTTTTTGTAGCTTGAGTTCCGGGGGGCACTCCAGATTTCAAGTGACTGGGATCGAAGGATTTTTGGGGGTTTAAAATTTTCGGTTTCTGGATTTTTTTTGGGTTCGAAAATTTTGGCAAGTATTTTTTTTTTAGTAGCTTGATTTATGGCCAGATTCGTTGTATACACGCTTTCAATAAGTCTGGGCGCCATCTTGAATTTTCAACGAATGACGTCATTCGCGGAAAGATCATACACGTGGCCAAAATGGCTACGAAAGGTGAAAGCTCTGTTGACGTTGATTTTGCAGTATGTTCATGTAAAAAGTAATGTTTTTACTTTATATCAAGAGGAATATTTTCTTTATGTCTTTATGGGTATGTTATTGTAACTTTAAAGCTTTCGTGCGAAGATATTCCTGGATCGGTGATCTCGAAGGCAAACGAGAGCTGATACAAATTGCCAAACAAAAAATGCGAATTAAAGTTTTTGCTTAATCGTCGTGGCTTGCGTCAACAGACAGAGCTGAACTTCTTCCCAGGTAATCTTTTTTATATACAATATACTTTTTCACTTTTTTTATGCGGGACTCGTAGGATACTTAGAATTATTAATAAAAGCTAATTGAAAGGATTTTTCAAGTTGCTATTCTGATCCTTTCAAAATGTACGACAATACTATCTCGACAAAAAGTTTATGCTTTTCATCATCAGTTTCTTATGCTATCATGATAGGTTTTAGGGTAAGAAAGAAATAGGATAAAAATGTTTATACTCCAGTCGACCCTTGCACAGAATAATTTTTCGCTCTGGGCAGGAGTAGCTCAGTAATCCAGAAAGCCGCTATCGGCTCGACTCCTGGTTAGAGATGTAGCCACTAAAGAGAGCTGGAGGAGGGATGCATCATTTCTTCCAAAGCATTTTACTTACATCATTTACATTGCTGAATAAGCAACGAAAAAATGCGGAGGAGAAGCAAAAAGCTATCTGAAAGCTATGTCAAAAACAACCTAGAAAAGGGATACAAAGTTTTAGTTGAAAATGACTGTTACGACAATTATTGTAGACTTATATGGAAAATAAATTCATGAAGAGGGGAATGCTTTAAATCACTGAGGAAGAATGAAAGGGCTCACAATGGTTAACAGTTGTAATAAATGCTCTTGTACAGCAGGAGGAAATGGTTACTGTAACCACATAGTTTTTATAATGTGTTTGAATTCACTGAATTCTCAAGAACTCGAATGTGCACAACTCCCAACAGTAGCACAAACCAAGGACCCTGGGTACGAACCCTAATTCATGTAATGTATATAAGGCATATAATGTCATCAATCTTTTTTACATGGAGAAATGCTCAGGTAGAAATGAGGGCTTTAGGGTACGTGTCCCTTGTAGAGTACAGCCAGGCGACATACTGTCCAAAATAAAGAGAGGGCGAATCACTAGTTCTTTCATTCAATTAAGACAAATAACTGTCCTGCAATAGTTTCAACTAATAAACTGGACACTAGGTTCTGCGTGTAGTGAGTTAAACATCTCTCTCTAAGGGAGGCAAACGTCAGTTTTATGACCAGTATTCCAATTTGTCAAGACCTAGAGCTGTTGATGGCATGGCTTCTTTCCTGAATTCCCAATTGACACTGACACATCAGCTTGAGTGGGATTGCAAATGCCCCGTTTTTCAGGAGAACCAATTTACAGGGTGTTTCAAAAGTTTCAGATTGTAAATTGTATTTTGCGCATAGAATTTAATGCTTCCTTAGGCAAATGTAAACTGATTCAGGTAGGGAATTTATCTAAAGAACCGTTCAAAGCAATTTCAAACTAAAATTTGAAGAAATTATGATATTTTTTAAATTTTTTCCCCAGATGTGCGCACGTACGCGTATTTTTTCCCGCCATATTTTTCTTGCCCATTTTGTAGGTTTCTATTTTCGTTTTTTGGGGGTTTTCTTTTATTTTCTCTACTCTTTCACGAAAATGAAGGCGTACACTGTTTGTGCTAGAGCTCAGGCATCTATTTTTACAGTACTCTGTCCATTTAGTCAAAGAAATTGTCAAATTGTTGAAGAAGTCTGAACGATGAGAGAACAAGTGGTCAAAAGTAAAGATCTTACAAGACAAACCAAGGAGTAGATGGCCGGTTTTTTTTTTCTACAAACTGTGTGAAAAATGTTATCGAAAAAGCTGTTAGTATATGCGTAATAATTCAACAAGACTGCAAGGTAAAAAGAAAACTTCAACTTCACAATATCAAAGTTTCGAGCACAACGATATGGAGATATGTGACCAACAAAGGTTGAAAAGCATTGAAAAGAAAAAAGGCGGTGCACACTTCATGCAGGCATGGCATCGGAAGAATTTGCAAACTTTATAACCGACCGGCAAACTCACGTGATGCGAACCCTCTAGTAACCATTGGGATTATCGTTGATGAGACAACATGCATACAAAGATCCAGCCCCCAAAACACTGGACTAGCTAAGACAGCGACCACGCTTCACCTGGGAAATTGTGAATTTAGACACGCTATTGGAGCTCGTACATTCTATACCCCATGGCTTAGAAAATGTCAGAAATCATAAAGTAAGACATTCTGGTTAATAATATTTCAGTTAGTCAATGTTAAATTAATAATGAATAACATGCTTAGGTTTACAAAAGTAATTTTTAATAACCAGTGAAATTTAAGTGAAGAAAAAATCGGAACGAACTTTTGAAACACCCTGTATAAGTTGTTAAAAAATTCCTAATCCATCCTTAATTAAGAATCAAAACGTCTGAGCAAAAATACTTTGTGGTTTCAAAGTAAAAGGTTCAAGTTAACTAGCTGTAATTTGCACTTGTTTGCGAATAGAAACTCCACATCTCTCACTGCAAACAAGGTTTATTCAAAATAATCTCGTGTCACAGAATGATGTTTCTAATAATACTGAATGGTAAATTGATATTAAGCAGCAACTAAATATGCTGAGTACATGAAAAATGTTGGTTTAGCATGTATATTTATATGTACATATAGATATACATTCATATAATT